TTTGCTGGAAGTGCTTCCTAACATAAGTCAGTCTGAGGAGAGGCATTTCATCCTTCCAGAACGAGGGGCAAAACTGCGCAAAAACTGGGAAGCCAACATGACTTGGTAGTGGCAAGAAAGGCAGAAGGGTCTTTTCTGCTGGAGATCATCAGAGGGCTGGATTAGGCCTCTGGGGCTGAGCTTCTGCACCCCTGGTGTAAAACAAGATCAGCAAGAAAAAGAAAATGATTTTTTTAAAGGAGTGTCTTCACCAAACAAAAGGCATCCCAAGATAGCAAAAACAGTAACCACCAAGCATCTTTGGCAGTACCTATGTATCCATCCCCAGAGCTTTCTGAAACTGCACTTTCTGCGCTAGTTTATGTGTTTGTTTACAACATTTGTATGCCGCCCAATTGTGCCACAGCACCTCTGGGCAGGCAGCTCACAATCACAAGAGAAAGCACAATAAAAACCAACCACAACATATGAACATACGAAGTCAGTAAAATACGGACAAAAATACAAAACAGAAGGTCGAACTTGTCCAAACCCAAGCCATGGGGAATCTAAGTTAGGTCTCTTTTGGGAAAGAATGCTGAGGCAGCAGGCCCAGTGCGTTGAACTACTGCCCCCAGCATCCCCGGGCAGCACGGTAGAAGAACAACAGCAGGGAGGGGCCACCCACTCCCGTGGGCCCCAGGGCTCACCTGGCCAGTTTCCACGGGCTGAGATCCCCCTGGAATGCTATTGGTGCCTGGTTGGCAATATTAATGCCAAAATGGGCAGGTGGCAGCTCTGGATCTAGCGGTAGATAATGCTGGGTGATTGGCAGCAGGTCTGCAAGGATTGTTGACTTCCAGTTGTTTAGGAGGAGTAAAATAGCACATACAATACCACTGAAATGAAGGCAATTGGGCATATCCAGCAAAGCTCCATTCAGCTCCAATCCTCAAAGCAAGTTCCTCAAAGAAAAAAAAAATTATGCTCCTCGGCCAGAGTTCACCAGCAAGCATAATTCTATTGCCAGAGGCTTGAATTGGGATGAAAGATTTTTGATATAAACATTAATTGGATTGAATTACCTTGCCCTGGGGTGCTTGTGTTATCCACAACCACTGCATGGTGAATTTCCCCGGTTTATGGTGGGTTAGATCCAGATGTATGCTGGATTCACTTCTTTCCCAGGATAGACCGTAAAAATTCCATACAGCAATTTATGAGATCTTAGTCAATGGTATGAGCTGTGGAAAGTACATGTTTTTATGGGAGAGATTGCTGAAAATCAGGCAGGGTGGCCTTCTGTGGGCAGAGCCCCCCCCCCCCGACCCCAGGGGATGTCGCTTTCCATATTTAATATATTTCAGACTTTACTGACCCAGTTTGCTCATTATAACCCATGAGCTGCATGACAGTGAATAAAAGTACAGCCTTCCTCTCAACTGCCGCTTCTGCTTTGCATCTAGTTTGCATCTAAAATGTGCTTTTCTTTTGTTGTTTTTCCTGATGTGTGGATTTGAAATTGGATTCTTGAGAGGAAAACAACTCAGAATCTTAACCCATTATTTGTTTGGGGATTAAAACTCAGGGGCGCAAGTTCCAGGTTTGCAAGTCACACCAAATGGTCCACAGATGGGGTGTTCCTGGATTGTTTTCTAAACCAGATGCCAAGTGGAAATGGCGAGTGAGCAAGAGACAGTGTCCTGCCCTCAGTCCTGTGCAGACCCGGTCAACCACAGCTTACTTAACCCGTGGTTAGTCATTACATGTGAACTGGGTCACTGTTTGCAGTTCTCCACTGCTGTCAAGATGTGCACTGTTTATTAACCTGAAATTCTGCATATTCCATGCATCCGATGAAGTGGCCACTAGCTCCTGAACATTTGTGCCAGAATAAGCACGTTAGGCTGATAAAGTGTCAGGAGCCTTTCTCTCATACTGTTCCCAAGGATGGCTACCCCTTTGGAATCAATTCTGTGCCTCCTGCACCTGGCCTGGTTCATAGCTCCCAGGGGTCTAGCAAAAACAAAAAACTAAACAAAATTGACCCCGTGAGCCTGACATCTGTCCACCCCTGTCACAACAATCCTGCAGCAATTTCTGCAGATGGCTCAGAGTCACAGGGCTGCGTGGGAGCAGCACGAGTCTGTGTGGACCACACTGTAGCAAGGAAGCTGTTGTCTGAATCATCCTTGTTTACTGCAGAACATGGGGCGGGCAGGGGGAGGTTCTTTTTTCAGTCTTGCATTACGTCTCCAGGCTTGGAAAGAGCTTTGTATTCTCTCCTGATTCCCCGAACTTAACGCATCACTTTAGGCTCATCTGGGTTCAGGTGTCCTCCGGTTGCTTCCTGATTTCTTGCTCCTCTCAGAGATGGCAGTCCTGCTTCAGTGATCAAAGAAAGGTCCTTTAAGAAAACAGTGAATCTGTAATTTTAATACAAGATTCTGATTTTAATACAAAGGGCACATAAGGCAACAGGTGGTGGCGTTGTAAGAACCACACCGGGGCTGCAGAGCAGCAGAAAAAGCATTTCATGCTTGACGGTCTGGTCTTGTTGTAAAGCAGTTAAATAGTCTGCAGGCTTGGAAGAAATGGGAGACTCAGTTAATGGAAAATATCCTGGTTTGTTTGCTGGCTTTCTTTGCTGGAAGGGAGATGATTTGCATGTGTAACCTGAAGAGTTCATGCCTGGGTGTTGGAAGGCCTTCAGAAGACTCAGGTGCCTTGCCCAGGGGGCTCAGTTCAGCATGCAGTTTGCAGGCGTTAATGTATATTAATATATCCATGGAGAAACAATTTTGGTTTTTAAAAATTTCACAGTGGGCGTTAAACTAGGCTCCTCCAATAGGTTCTTCAGATCATTTGCCCTCTGCTCCAGGTTATCCCAGATTAATGGAAAAGTTTTCCCCCTGACCACAAGCATAATTTGACGGAAAGACGGGGGGGTTGCTTTGTGTGTGTCTTCTGTGTGTGTGTGTGTGTGTGTGTGTGTGTAAGTGTAAGTAAAAGAGTTAACTCTTTCCTTTGCCACTGTAATCACCTTTGAAAATTACCCCCCTGTGTGGTCAGTTGCTGAGAAAAAAAGCCCTTTCTTTGGCACCAATGGACTGATTCAGAATTGGGGCTTAGCAGTACCCAAGCTCATTCATATCTCAGCTCACTAAGCCAAGGAATGTATCTCCAGGCACTGAAGCAGGAGGGCCTTTTTGGTAGTGGCATCCTCCCTGTAAAACACTGCCTCTTGAGGAAGCTCCCTCAGCATGTTCTGTGATGTCATTTTGGTCCCAGGACCCTTTCTTCTATTGGTCCAGGCTTTTCAAATACTGTAGTCATCTTGCTTTGGGTTTTGTTTCTGCCAAAGACTGGCTTTATTTACCATTTATTTTCCATTGTTGCTTGATTTGTTTGCAAGCATTCTCTCTCTTGTTTGTTTTTAAATTTCTATTTTTATGGAAACATTGAAAGGAAGGGTATAAACAGCTCTAAATTTAATCCAAATTCCAGCTGTATGGTGAGGCCTAGAAATTTATTCAAGTGTATGGCCGCTGCAGTTTTTAGTTTTCGAGTGTGCTTTACAGAAGTGTGGCTAGGATTAGATGATGCCCATGCATGAGAATCTTGTTTCCATCATCAAGAAATAAATTGAAGCCTTTGATTTTTTTTAAAAAAGTGGTTTGGAACGACAAAAAGACACATTATGGTTATTTTAGTGAGGAAATTAATAAGACTAATTGCAATAATAACTTCCTCGTTCACTCTTCAGCCTTCCAGAATAAATTCCTTTTGGAGTTGCTGCTTTTAATTAGCCTGGTTGGCCATCACAAGACTGCCTTTGCTGCAAGGATCGCCCCTCTCCACTTTGTGTGCAGAGCCTTCCGTTTTAATTTGCACCACGACAAGCTGGAAACAAGGCCAAACTGGAGGCTTTATCATTTGTCATAAGCCAGGGATGAAGGACTGTTTTTTAATTGATTGTTGGAAGCCTGAGAAGAACTGGCAAAAGGAAATCATTTCCCTTAATTTGTATCTCAGGAGTTCTGGTTATTTCTCCCACCCTGTCTTGGAAAACAGAAAATTAAAAACTGTTATCCAAGTGGTTCCAGGCTGATAGCACAAGTAGATCAGAAAGAAGATTAAAAGTACAGATTGGGCTTAATTACTGTTCTTTACTGTCCGATAATAGAATTGAATATCTAAATATTCTCCCTCCTGTGCGACGTGCTTGTCTTAATTTATTTATAAGACTCATATACTGCCCCACATCTAACAGCATTCCCAAGTGGCATAGCAAAAGAAGAAAGAAAGCATAATCAGATTACAGCAATTAAAACATGACTGCTAACTGTTTAAAACAGGGAGGGAGAGCTGTTCAGCCCAAGAGACAAACAGATTCCAGGCAGGCCTGTTGCAGGACACATGTCCAAAGTGAGTAAGACCACACCACTGTTGGGTGTGACCCCATGACTTAAATAGACCCCCCACATACTCTCACAGTGCCCTAACCCCTCATGCGCCCCCCCATGTAGCGAGGCTTTTACAAAAGCCACTCAGAATGGCATTGTGTTCTTGTGTTCTTGTTTGAAAGAAAATTCCTATTAGGAGTGGGACCCTGGAAAGGGGTAGGAGTCCCTGCTGCAGTTTGCATCTGCTATTTTTCCAACAGCCACAACCCCAAATCACACAGTTATGCGCGTACTGTCGCATCTAATATAACTCTTAGATGGGAGCAGAAGGTCCTTGAAATACCTGCCTAAACAGAGTCGGATATCTTTTGAAAGTTGCCTCTTCCAGACTGGGTACTAAGGGCCCTTCATAACCATTCTACTGCCTCTTGTTTGTTGGGGAACAGTGTCTTTGCACCCCCTTTGTTACACGCCGGGAGTATGGATTGGGTATATGTCTTCGTCTCGGCATGTGCCGTGACAGCACTTCCTAAGATAGAAGCAACATGACTCCTCCTCTCTTTGGGGTCAGCACCAGAAGCAACACTAAACTGCTGTGTTTGTTTACCCCTGCAGAAGCTGGACGCCAAATCTCTCATCAAGCTGAACTTTGCTAAAAACAGCGATGGTGAGTCGGCACTTCGATTCCCTTTTCAAAGCCTCTTTTTTCCTATGTAAAGTGCATGCAAACACGAACGCCCTGACATAGCACAGAGTAACGGGCATTTTTGTCTATGTGGGAGGTGATCAGAGCTGAGGTTTGCAAGATCCATCTTGGGTCTTTTTGCTAGAACTCTGAGGTCCATCAGCTGGAGCCAGATGCAAAAACTGAACCACTGATGAACAAGATGTCTCCGAGTTTCTGTTCAGCCCAAGAATCTGTTAGAACAGGAAGTCAGAAGCAGCTCCTTCTATGCATTCAGTCAACTCTTGTAAACGTCTTGTTTTGAGCAGCCTGATCTTGCATCGAGGGGTAAAGATGTTTTCCCTTCACAGTTATGGGGCATTGTGAATCAAAAATCTTTGCTGATGGCTGTCTTCTTCATTAATAGACTCAGTCCCCTTTTAAAGCTGTCCAGATTGATGGCCATCCCTACATCTCATGCAAGTGAATTCCTAGTTTAACAGTGTGTTGTACGAAAGAGAGTCTTTCCTTTGATCTGCCTGAATTTGCCACCCATCAGCTTTGTGGGAACATCTGGGTTCTAGTATTATGCGTGGAGAAAGATGTCTCCTTATCCACTCTCACCACTCCAGGCATCATTCTGTACACCTTAATCAGGACTGTATTCCCCTGGAGATCTCGCGCACAAATGGAAATAGGGAAATGTGCCCGTGCTTATTCTTGTCCAGCCCTCAGTCCCCTCTCCCGTCACATGTTGCCAACTGCTGCATTTTGCCCGCCGTGATAACTTCCTCTCCATCAGGTTGCTTGGCACCCCTTTAATGTCTCGGGTTTGGCGGTGGGAGGGCTGCGTTCTTTCAGAAACAGCAAAAACTCTTCTGAGCACTTCCAATAATAAGAGCTGTATTATGGCATAAGCCTTTGTGGAACAGGGTTTACTTTGTCAGATGGAGTGAATAATATCCTTAGCTGGCAGAGAAAGGTGGGCATAAGCGGAAAAGAAAAGGTTAGTGCAGCGACCATACGATCTTGAGCCATTGCTTATGAGGGTGGGGGGCATTGCTGTGGGATCGTCTCTGTGTTTGTGCAGCTGGCTCCCCATACAAAGGCAGGGCATGTATTTTGCACGCACAGAAAAGTGCATTGTCAGCATCCACGATCTAATTATGTAGATTGCAGTCTTTGGAATGAAAGGTACCACAAGACTGCCTGTCATTCTTTAGAGTTTCCATAGCTGTTGGTATCTGTAGGATTTCTTTGCTGAGGAAGGATATGGAAAGTTTCCAGTTTTTCTTTTCAGTCTTAAGGGCTAGAAACTTGGGGTATGTTTGTTGCCTTTGTGATTAAAGGTGTAATGGTTAGGGTACTGTATTAGTAATACTAATTTTTGCAGTTGGTGGACTCCCCCTGTGGGCAAACCATAGCAAATTGAACTACCCAATGTTGGATGGTACCGTCTTGTTTGTTTTTTCATTGAACTGCAACTAGGAAGCAATGTTTCAGGCAAACCAAAGATGCGTCATAGTTTCATTGAAATAGCCCACATCAGTGGGCTGATCAAGTGTTACCACTTATTGCTGCTGCTTTTTCACCAAGTCAACCTATAAATTTCCTAAATCCCTCTGCTTTTATTGCTTTGTTTACCTAAGAAATGTGTAATATTTACATTGACCCTCTGGAAAAATTTACAATTCAATTTCCTCTGAAGCCAAAGAGTTTATTGAAAAATACACACCATCAGTTCTGCAAGAATTTGGCTCACCTAGATGGAATACAAAATCTTCTCAGACCCTGCACAGACTGAGTTTCTTACTCAAGTCCTCTGAAATTCCTGCTTAGCCAAAGATTTGGTTACAGTCAAGCTTCTAGGCATGAAATGTCAAGCTAATCAAAGAAAATGCACAATGACCCCATAAGGAGGGTGTTCAATCTGAGTTGAGTTGGTGAGCATCATCAGTGAGGGACATTTGGACTGTGTTCTGCTTGGTCCAGAGCTCACATTGGGTCCCAGACCTTCACACTTCGCATTGTGTGGTCCAGTATGGGTTATCGTGGAACCATAGATTGGTGCCAAAGCATTGGTTGCCATGCAGCCTGAGTCCAGCAGTAGTAATAAACATGGTTTGTTAGCCACGAACGACTCATAGCTCATATCCCAAGAGGAAACCCTGGGTTTTCTTGATGAGTCGCTTGTGATGTGCCAACTGGGGTTGGCTTGTCAGGCCAACTGTGGCCCGTGGGCTGCAGGTCAGCATGCCTGATTTAAATCCTCTGCTGCAGCCCTCCTGTGCCTCTAGGGAAGGAGCGCTCGCCTCCTCCTGAGCGAGACAGAAAACGCTGCTGCTGAGCAGTTATTACGATCAGGAAGTTTCTCCTGCAGTTTAGATGAAACCTGCTCCCTTGCCATATCAGGGCCAAAGAGACATGAAATGCATGATCAGATGTGAAGTTTCTGGTGGGTGTTGCATTTAAATAGTTGCCAGGAGGAGGGGGAGAAGAGAGGACTGGGACTGTGGCGCAGCTGGAGGCGTATGGTCATTTCTGCCCTTGCACTGGGCCATGGCAAGGGCTTGCGTAAAGCTGCAATCAGAGCCCGAAGCAGCCTTCTTTCCTTGGCTTGTTGCTTTAACAAAATAGTTCTCATCCAGGTCGCAGCATGGATAAAGGCTGTCCAAGCAGACTCTGTGACTAAAGCTGTAACTGCCTATTCCTGCCTGGGGTTGGACTGGATGACCTCCAAGGCCCCTTCCAGCTCCAAAATCCCTTGGTGCCTTTCTTATTTATTCCCATTTAAAGAAACGTGCTTGCATGTGCAGGACGTTGGGCCTGTTAGTCTGGGCATATGTATTTCCTGGAAAACGCCTACATATTGGGAAGCAGCCATGAAATTCTTTGCTTATGCAATCCAGAATTTACGAAGTTTACTTCGTGCAAACTTCTGCCAGAAGACTGTGGAATAGTGTCAGTTTGTTTCACCATGCTGCATGCATTCTGCCAGCCTGCAGCCCCTGTGCTTTGAAAGATGACTGATGTGTGGGGTTTCTTTTCCAGACAGTGTAGTGTAGTGGTTAGCACACTGGACCAAGGTCAGTGAGACATTCACTGCAAGACCTGGGGCCGTTCACCGCATGGCTTAAGCCATCTAGTTCTGCAGAAAGATACGAGAATAGATTGCAGTTCAGATGAAGAGGGGGAAGTAGAGGCTGGAAGACCAAGGAAAGACGAAATGGGATAAAGGAGGAAGGAAGAGAGAGCCAAGCTGCTCCCGAAACCATGGGAACCAAGGCCTTTCCGAAGAGGAGAAAGAGGGGACTGGGAATGTCAGATTCAAGAGAGAGAGAGATCACGTAAGAAGGAAAGACCAGCAGTGAGGAATTGTTATGGTCAGCCTGGAGGAACCCACCGAGCTAGACTGGGATCTCAAGACAGTCCCTTCTGCAATCGGTTGCAGGTTCCTCCCAGGCTGTTTAGCTGTTGGTGGTGCAATGCAGACGGCCTGGTTGAAGTTATCTCAAAGTTAAGTGCCTCTGCTTAACAAACATATTGAATAGTAAACTGACTGGGTGCTTCAGTAAGGAGGGATCTCCCAGAAATCATCTCCTAGTTCAGGATGAATCCTTATCAGACAGTCACCAGAAAAAAATCAGAATTTCTCTGGAATCTCAACACAGGCAAGGCAGGAGGGGCCAGAGGAGGGATGGGAAAGGAAGTTGGAGGTCTTTCCCATCCAGCATCGCTCCCATAGAAAAGGGGAGCTTGGGCAGGCACCAAGGATGATTGCTCCAAGCTCTCTGGTACAGGCCCCAGGAGGTAGGGTTCCTTGTAAACCAAGTGGGGAAGAGCTGACACAAGCACCAGGAGAACATAACCACAGACATGGTGGGTCCTTCAGCTCCGTTTTATTGCATTCATAGACTGATTCTACAGAAAGGTAACAGAGCTTGAGACTGTAACTTAAAGAAAGCTTTGCTTGCTTGCAGTTTAGCAGAATGAAATTAGAAAATGTTAATTAGAAGAGCAGAAGGGAAGAGAGGGCTGCCTCTTGCTCTCTCTCAGCCTCACGTACCTCATGGGGTGGTTGTAAGAATAAAAGGGGAGGGGAGGTCTTCAGGTTGGTGGGTTGCTGTTAAGAGCTCCTGCGCAGAAGGACAGGAGGAAAATTAATTGCTTCAGTCAATCAAAACCTTTCTTTAGAAAAGCGCTGTAGCCGTCACTGCCTATTACGTGAAAGTATGCAGTAATTTGGTTTATTTTTGAATCCTTGCATTCTTTTTGCATGCCAGGGAAATACCACTGTCCGGTGCTCTTCACTGTGTTCACCAATAATTCCCACATTGTGGCCATCAAAACAACCGGGAATGTTTTTGCCTACGAGGTGAGTTCACTGCCGAACCCAATTGTAATGTTCTGCACCGGAGAACAATGGTGCAAGCTCGTGCGAGCAGCTGCCGCCGCATCGTGCTTTCCAGATGTGTCGGGCAGAAACTGCCGGCAGCCCCTGGCCAGCTCTGTTGTGCTACAAGAAGCACAGCCACAAACGAAGCCCTGTGATTTGTTTATGGTTCATGAGGTTTTGAACCCTATGTGGTACTAAGATGTGGCTGTAGAGGTTCTTAACGTGGGGACAGCTTAATTGTGCTGATGATGACTGTGATGCCCCACCGTTCTTCCTTTTAGGAGGAACCCAGGGCGGCTTACATATTCCTTCTCCGCTCCACTTTATCCTCACAACAGCCCTGTGAGGTAGGTTGGGCAGAGAGTGAGTGACTGCCCCAGAGTCACCCAGTGAGCTTCAAGGTCAAGAGGGGACTTGAACCCAGATCTCCAGGTCCCCAATCCAGTACTTTCACCATTCCAAAATAATGCAATTGGGAAGCCAGAGGGAATGCTCTCGGTCTTCTGATAACGATTGTTAAAAGTGGCAGGGGAAACTCTGTAATTCTCTTGACATGTTTTTCCGAATTCATTTCCTTTCTTAATCTTTTTTTCTTACTTTCCTAAGGCAGTTGAGCAGCTGAATATTAAAACAAAAACCTTCAAGGATCTTTTAACTGATGAACTCTTCACTCGGCAAGATATTATCACATTACAGGTAAGGTTTTAATTCATTCATTTAAATGAATTAATAGTAGAAACCAAAATGGGTCCATGGCCTGTCCTTTCATGCTCCATTCCTCTCTCTGACCAGGTTTGAACAGCTTAACATGACATCCAGAACCTGATTCATTGCAGCCAAATGAGCCAGGATTTGTAAACAAATCATACATATTAGCTTAAAATCAGCTTAGCATCCTCACTTCTTTAGACACAGTAAACCCAGTCCTGGGTTTAGCTAACCTTCCTCAGCCTAGCTTGTTTACTAGCTTGCTCAGAGCAGGAATCAACAAGCCTTCTCGGCAAGCACCCAGTCCATTCACATTGTTCATTAAGACGGCAAAATACTCGGTTTAGTGCGAAGGGAGCCTGTGTCAGTTTCAGTGGCATCCATAGTTACTGGCCTCACTCGTCTCCAGTATTTGGCGGGCTTGTCCATCCCTCCCGAGGCTTTCCTCTTGCACAAAACAGTTCCTTTTCTTGGTGCATTTAATCAGCCTGATGCTGCCCCAGTTCAGCCTGGGTATGAAGGTGCGTGTTCATCAACCTGAAGTAGCCATTTTCCTGAAGGGCACAGTCCCACATCCTGGACCCCTGCTGCACATAAGCCTCCAAACTCAGGGCTCACAGCCACCCTGTGCGTGGCTTGAGACTCAGCGGTGGGATCGGCTGCCGCCACGCTTCCCGCCCCGCATTTTATCTGGGCGATCGTGTTTGGCTGTCTGGATGAAGCACCAAGGACAGGAGTCCGGAGCACTGATCAGAACCGGCCGGAGACCTCAGCCCAGCCTTCTCCTCTCTCCACCTCGGCCCGCTTCCCCAGCTCCCAACACCACTTTCCGTCTTCTCTGAGGCCCAGTTCTGACCTGGAGGGATAACAGCTGGTGAGGCGATTCCAGCACCCGCTGAATTTTTGTACTCCGCTTAATCCGATGGCCTGCCAGTCAATGTCAGGAGTTCAAGGGATTGTTCCATAATCGCTTTAGGTAACGAACCCCCCTTTCTCCTCCGTTCAGTTTGACCAGCTTTCTGGTGTTCTGTTAGCACCAGCTGAATGAGCCGTTCACATGTGCCCTCCCACATTTCTCGGAAGAAGAGAACTATTCCTGTTCGCATTATATAAAGAGTAGCTGTTCTTCAAGGAGAGAGTAAAGGGAATGAACTAGTCACTTGCCTTTGCTGCCGCTAGCCTTCCCAGCGCAGAAATATTCATTGAACTGTGAGTTCTGTAGCTCTGCAGGGCAGCAGTTGAGAAAAGTAGCGGATCCAGACTTTATGAAGCAGGATTTTGTTCTGTCCATTTTTTCTGACCTATTCTGCTTTCCTGGACTTCAGCATTTGCTCTGCTTTTGCTTTTTAATAGTGTGATTTATTTTTAATTATATGTTTAGAGATACATGGCTGCTCTCCAGTAAATGTTCTTTGGGTGGCTTACAGAAGAAGAAATACAACAAAACAGTAAAATAAAGATAAATGCTAAAAACCATAAAATGCAGCATTAGAAACATCTCTCTTCTGGTGGGGAAAATATGAATCAAATCAGCTCTATTTCCTGCTGGATAGAGGAATGTTTTCAGTTGCTCTTTTGGATTAGTTTCACCATTTTGATAACTGACCACATTGTAAATCTGCAACATCTCCATTCCCTGAGTCACGAAAGAGCTTTTTTGGAATGACCTTTGCACAGGCCAACACCTCTGTGATTTCTTCCTGAAAACCTTGTAGCAGAGGCTGCCTCCAATTCATACCAGAAAAGGGGAGAAACAAAGGAAAATAATTAAAATGGTGTAGAAGAGCTGGGAGGCAGGGAGAAAGGAAGCCAGTGGGTTGTCATTTGGATGCCAGCTTATGCTGCTTGACTTCGTAAATGTCTCTTGGTTTTACAGCCAGCCATAAAACTAAAGATTTATTCACCAGTGAAAGCAAACAATTTCAGGGCTGAATGAAAGACATAATTATGTCATTTAATGAGAGATGGAGCAATTGGCTCTCGCGAGTGACTTGGTGGTGATGGAATATTGGAAGTTTCTTATCTGAAGACACAATGCTGCATTCATCTTGAGTTATACAATTTGCATTCATATCGACATATTAAGACAGTTCTTCTTGTTTTACTTTTGGACTTCAGGCTTTCACGTGCTCTTCCTACTCCTGTGTTAATTTTTTTTTTTTAAGACCTCCAGAAAATAATTTTTGAACCCCAATTACTTCAAGTTTCATTGCACTCAGGTAAGATGTTGCTGGAATGAAAAGAAGTTTTCATTAACACAGTCACTGGAAAAAGCTCGATTAAAAAAAGTATTAAGACAATTGAATTATCAGTAGCCCAAAATGACTTGTGTTTATAACCTGTTGTGTTCTGCTTGTTTTTTCTTTTTTCTTTAAAAAGGACCCGACCAACTTGGACAAATTTAATGTCTCCAGCTTCTTCCATGTTAAGAACAACTTGAAAGTGACAGATCCAGGTAGGAGTGAAGCCAAGAAGGGCCAAAGAAAATTGTTCACAGCAAGCTTGGATCCAGGCATTTGTTTATTTTTTAATTCAATGATACGTGAGTCTCCTGGAACCAAGGTGACTTTCATGGTCTTTTATCTCTCTAGTTTATCTTCACAACAACCTTATAAGGTAGGTTAGGCTGAGAGTCAGAGACCGTCCCCTGTTCACCTAGTAAACTTCATTCATTCATTCATTTTTCATTTTTTACTTGCATGCTACCAGCTATCCCAACATGGATCTTTAGATGACTTGCCACAATAATCAAAAACACAATTCTTAAAAACAATAAAACAATACAAACATAATATAAAACATCATAATGAAACAATGACAGTATCATAGTGGCCATTTAAGATAATAAATATAGCAAGTTAGAAGGACAACTATATATATGCCATCAACTTATTTAAATCGGTGGTTAAATGCCTGGTAAAGAGAAATGTTTTTGCCTGGCACCAGAGAGAGAATAATGTTGGTGCCAGGTGAATCTCCCTAGGGGAGCCTGTTTGGGGGGAACCGAAAAAGGCCCTTCTTCTGTTTGCCATCTCCCTCAACTCCTTGAGGGATGGCTCTTTAGAAGAACCTCTTGCTGGAATCTTAATGGGCTGGTAGGCATATACAGGCGAAGACAGCGCTTGACGTGGTCAGGTCTTAAGCCATTTAGTGCTTTATATGCCAAAGCAAGCACTTTAAGTTGGACCTGGGCTGCAACTGGTAACCAGTGTAGTCCATATAAAACTGGTGTGGTGTGGCCCCTTGGACCTGCCACAGAGAGTGTGGCTCGATTTTGAACCAGCTGCATTCGTGGCTGATGGAGAACCCGGATGTCCTGGATCCCAGTCCAACACTAATCACTTTGCTGTGCTGACTTGAGGGCCCCCCCCCCACACTCTGGAGCCACTTCTGCACAGTGTTCCCCCAGGTGGGTGCTGATGAGGCCCAGCTCTGCGAAGTGGCTTTTCCGGGAAAGGCCATAGGAATAGGAGTGGAATAGTGCCATGGAAAGCTCGTGAGTGGTGCTGGGACTAGGAAATGCCAAAGCAAATCTATGCCCTGCCACGTTTGTTTGCCAACCAGTGGCAATGTGTGTTTGGAAAAGGTTAATATGTAAATAAATATGTATAATTTGCATGCAGGCATGGAGTTAAGATGACAAAACGACCCACCCTCCCTCTTGGCCCCCTGCCCTCTGCTCCCGCCCTCAGACCACGTCTCTCTCTTCCAGGTTGCCTGGAGGTGGAATTCAGTCATTTTCACTCCTGTTTTTGGTTAACCGCCACTTGCTGCGCCATCTAAAGCTGCTACTGAGGTTATGATCAACTGTGTTTAGTTTAAACCAGTGAGAAACCACAGCTTTTAGTTGGCTTGTTTAAGAATGGGTGTTTTTTTTGCACTGCCGGAAAAGAAGTGTGTCTCCAAAATAAAGAGGGCAGCAGTCCCCATAACATTTGCATATGACCGTATGCAGGTAGAGGTGCAAACGTAGCTGTAACTACTCTTATTGAAATAGAAGCACAGTATGATCTTCCCGTAGTTGTTGAAATAGAAGCACAGTATGATCTTCCCGTAGTTACTGAAATAGAAGCACAGTATGGTCTTCCTGTAGCTGGGGAGGGTGTAAATCAGTGAACTGTACCTGCTCTGTCTGGACCTGTAAGCGGTGGAGGGGCAGCTTTGGACTGCCTCCTCTCTTCTTCCTGAGGGGTTCTTTACCTCTGGTTTAAAGGTGGACCAGACAGCCCTTCTGGCAGAAGATAATCTTCGAGTAGAGGAATGCAATTTGACAGCCCTTCCAATGGAGGACTGTCCTTCATAAAGCAGGGCACCTGATGCTCCTATAAGAAGCTAATCACAGTTCATGGCAAACATAGTGTGTTAGTCCAGACCACAACAAGCCACCATGGTTAAGCAAAATCAGAAATGGGAGCTTCCACGCTATGCTAGTCATTTAAGACAGAACTGGAACTTGCCATTTGCTCAACTTGCATTAATGTTCTGCAGATGAGGAGAAAGCAAAATCGGACCCATCCTATTATCTGAAAAACGCAAATGTTGAGACCCGGGAAACACTGTTGGAACTTTACAAAGAATTCAAAGGGGACGAAGTGCTGGCAGCCACGATGAAGGCTCCGGAGAAGAAGAAAATCGATAAGCTGAACGCTGTGAGTTGAGTTTGCTGGATTGTACAGAGCACTTCTAAATGTGTGTTGGGGAAGACGAGCGATATTCAGTAGAGTCGAGAGAGATTCGGTGTACCTTCAGCCAGGAAGAGACCCAACAAATCAGGAGCAGGTTCATTGCATTCCTTTAGGGTTTGATTGGTTGGGAGCCTTTTGTTTATGGAAAACATGTCTTTCTGTTATTGCTCGTGAGAGAAAGATACGCATACATATATGTAGATATTGTGAGCTGCCTCGATTTCTTTGTAAACCTTAAAATCGGACATTCTTCTTGTCTGTCGAACAGGCACACTATTCCACCGGTAGAGTGAGTGCCTCTTTCACGTCGACTGCCATGGCGCCTGAGACAACGCATGAAGCAGGTAATGTTCTTTCCGGCCACCGCACCTGCGCTCATCACACACACCCTCCACCCTGGCCCTGGGCAAGGTGATAGATCAAGAACTCGGGACATAAGGAAAGCGGTGCTGAGTCAACCTAAAGTCCATCCTGGACAGCAGTCTTTTAACCTAGTGGCTGACTAGCTGCCACGAGGAGGACCTGGGTGCTGTAGCAGCTCCCTACCCGTTCCCCAGCAACTGGGGCATACTGTCTCAGATATTGGAGGCAGCATATAGCCACCAGGGAGGAGTAACCTTCAAGGAAGTTAGGGTAGCTGATATTATCTTTTTCATCCTCACCATTTTTGCCCCTCAACAGCCCTGTGAGGTAGGTTAGACTGAGCGTCAGTGCCTGGCCCAAAGTCACCAGGGTGTTTTGTATCTGAGTGGGGGACTAGAACCCAGGTCTCTTGAGTCTCAGTCCAGTGTTCTAACCACTGTGCCACATGGTCTCTCTCTCTGATCTTTCAGCCCTTTTTCAAAGCCACTCAAATTGAGGACCAGTATGTCTTCTGATAGTGACATGATGTATAACTTGGGTCCAGTGCTCATGTGATCCTTTTTGTGGATCAAGATTTCCAAGAGACTATTAAAGACCCTTGAAAAAGCTTTTAAAGAAAGCGAGGTCCAATTTTTGGAGCAATAGATAAAGTTTCTGTAACTAAGCTTAGGATCAGACCGCTTGTGCTCTTCCCCAGCATGGTGCCCTTCATATATTTTGGACTGCAACACCCAGTATTCCTGACCATAGGCTAGGCTTGTTGTGGTTGATGGGGCTTAAAATCTAGTGTTTCAGCAGGATGGGCAAGCCTGCCATAGTATAATCCAGTACGGGGGGAAGAGCTTTGTAGGCTGAAGCAGCAATCCGAAAAGAGAATAACTTTGCGCCATTAAACCTGCCATTTCAATACACTCGGCAGGCTTTGATTCAGCACAAGTTGATTCCCCAGAATTTAGCAGGCACCCGTGACGTGTGGCACTGTACTGCATTCTGCCCTTCCAAGCTCAGGCCGCTTTCTGGGGCTCGATAAGCTCAGCTTTCAGAAGGGCGCGCTCGACAGCACTGAAGAGCACATTAACTCAGAATGACATGCGGAAGGTCCTTGGATTGCCCTGTGGGAAGGGGAGACGTGCCTCCACCAGAACAGTGTCTCGCCACTGTGCGCTCACAAATGAGCGATGCCGATTGGACACGCGCTCATTTCCCCCTTTTTCTTTCGTGAGCAGCTGCCATCGATGACGACGTGGTGCGGTACCAGTACGTGAAGAAGAAGGGCTACGTTCGCCTGCACACCAACAAAGGGGACCTCAACTTGGAGCTGCACTGCGACATGGTATTTACTCACTGGCTGTTCCTTCCGTTTGTGTCATGCCTTTCCACCAAGGAGTAAGCGTGAAGGTGTGCATGGTCCTCCTCTCCCTTTTATCCTCACAAAAACCCTGCAAGTTGGTTAGGCTAAGGAGCCGTGACTGGACCGCAGCCACCCAGCGGCTGATGTGGCTGAGCGAGGACTAGAATCCTGGCTCTCCTGGTGTCTCAGTCCAGCCCTTAATCACTGCACCACACCAGCGCTCACGGGATGGTGTTTCGTCTTGCTAAAACGTGGTGCTTGAGAGTGTTTCCCCACAGCCCAGTGGGTTTGTGGCCCATGCAGTCCACTGGCAAGCTCCGGAGGAGGCAGATGAGAGATCCAACTGGCCAGAGCCAGAGGGCAGCCCTCCAGGGGTCCCCGGAGGCCACACCCCTTCCCCCAGCCTCATTCCCTTTCCCCCCACCCGTCAGTTGTTTGGTGCTTTCTTGGCTCTTGGGCAGTGTTTTCCCCCCATTTCGAAGGGTTTGAAGCATTTCTCCTGTGGTGGCGTTCCTGGCAGTAAGAGCTTTAAGATGAGCTCTGTTGTGGGGATTTAGGCCCTGCATCTCTTGCCTTTGACCCGTCACTGGCAGGCAGCCTCTGAGCGTGGCATTCAGCTGAAAGAGGCCCTGCACTTCTGAAGCACTTGGTGCAGATTCGGTATCTCTGGGCAGATAGGCATCGCTGCCTCGATGGAGTTTTGTTGCAGTCTTCGACAAACACTGTTAGACCTGAAAGCAGAGTCGCAGTCACTCAATCTCCACTTGAAAAGACAGAAAAGGAAGTTGGAAAGGAAGACACAACCACAATTACAGAAGGAGCATGCTAATCGTGTTAGATCTGGGTCCAGAGTTTCTGCATTGCTAATGTATATCAATACATGAAGCACCTTAAGTGTGAGGGGACCCAGGGGAAGGTTAAACTAAGCCAGTCGGGAAACAAAGTTAGTTTAACCTAACCTAGGTTGTTCATTGCAGCTTCTGGGGGGGAACGTGAAATCTGAAGAGAAAAACATTGTAAAATGAAGATGGAATTACAATGGAGTCCCTGCAAAAGAGCAGCAGAGAGGGGTTAGATCCTGATAATTTTGGGACACCAGGCTGGCCATGTGGGTTGCTAGAAGGCCTTCCTGGGGAGCCGTGAATGGGACGAACTTCAGCAGGTCTCATCTGCCTGCTCTTTGCTGCAGATGGAAGCGAGGAACAGGTGGCGTCAGCTCCATATGCAATGAGTCGGCAAGGCTGCCATGGCGTGTCATAAGCAGCCCGGCGCTGCATCATGCTGGGGCGGTTCTAGCGAATCTTAACCAAGTGCTGATCTGTTTTGCTCTGCCTCTGCTGAGTAACACTGCTATGGGAGGGGAGAAGCCTGAGGGTGCCAGGCCAGGTGTTCCTTGGAACTGCACCAACAATTGAATCAGCTTGACTCAGTTACTCAGCTGGGTGCCGCAGTGCCCACGGTTTCAGCTGCCGTTTGTTTGGCCAGGGCTGTTTCTGTCCTCAGGAGTTCAGGTCTGTTTCCAGAGGAATAAATGGTAAATTATTCCAGTGGAGAGAGATCAACAGTGAGATCCCACAGAGGTCTGTTTTGGGACCAGTGTCTTTCATCTTGCTTGAGAATTGACCTGGAATTAGGCATGGGCCAGGTTTGCTGCTGACACCAGGTTCTTTAGGGCAGTGAAGAGAAAGGGATTGGCAAAGAGCGCCAGAGGATCTTTGCGGGCTGGGAGGCTGGCCATCAAAGTGGCCAGTGTGGTTCATTGTAACCTCATATAAAACAATGCACTTCGGGACAAAAAAATAGGAGCTAGCCATGCCTGCCCCAGAATGCGATACCAGGGCTCTGGTGGGTGGCTTGACGACCGTGGCAACTCCATATATGGCTGCGTTAAGAAATGCAAATTCCATGTTGGCATAATTAGGAATGGGGTGAAAAATGAAACTGCTGGTATCATACGACCTTGATGCAGATCTCTTGTGTGGATCACATACTGAACAGTGTCAGTGGTTCTGGTCTCCACACCTATAAAGTGGAGATTGTAGAGTTGCAAAAAGGGCAACTCACATGACTGAACTGACTGCAAAAACCCCATTAAGAAGAAAGGTCAGAACATCAGGGGTTGCTCAGTTTAGAGAAAAGGTGAGTGAGTGGGGAGATAGGGTAGAAATCACAGAATTATGGATGGAGTGAAGAACATGAACAGGGAGACATCATGGCGTTCACTTCCTCAGGGTGTAGTGCTGGCCACTGATCTGAATGGCTTTCGAGCAGATTTGGGCAGTGCCTGCTGAGCAGGCTGTCTCTGGCTGCTAGTGCTGGTAGCTCGCTCTGCCTGCGGCATCAAAGGCAGTGTGCCTGTGTGGAACACGGCTGAGAAGGGGCCGTTGTGGTTGTGTCTCGATTCTGGGTTCCCACCAGCATATGATTGGCTGGTGTGTGAGCAGGATACTGGCTTAGGTGGAGCCTTGGTCTGGTCCAGAAAGCCTCCGATGTTTGGACGACCCATTGGTCATATTCTGTGGTCACTGGCATCCTGAGGTTAGGGTTCGGGTTCGTGGGACTCTCTGCACATGCTTGTGAGCCGGTTGGTGAGGGGGTCGCACCATCTTGCGTGCCACCAAACCTCCTCGGCTCGGCCTTGTGCCATCTGCTTCATTCCCTTTTCTGCAGCATCGGCATCCGGTCCAATTTCATTTGCTCTCGCCTACACGGAGGAGCTTGCTTGACATGCGTTTGTGAAATCTTTGGGAGCCAAGAGGTTAGGTGTTGTTGAAGGACATAATTTCACTGTCACAGGAAGAGAGCCCAGTGGGAGCAGAGAAAATAGGGCAGAGGAGAAAAGCGGACATGACTCATGGATGTGGGTTGGCAGAACTGCGATGTCAGTGAGATGAGAAGCAGGTGCGTGCTTTGTTTAGGGGAAGGGCTACTCTTGTGTGCATCCCCCACCCCAGGTGTGCACCCCCAGAGACTTCCTCCAGCTAAGGCACCTTGCTTCTGGATTCGAAGAGAACCAGGGCGAAAATTTGCCTTGTGTGTTAAGGATGGCATTCAGTTTGTAGAATACGGTGACAAAATATGGGCGCAGTAGATAAGCAAAAGAGTCCTTACCCTCCCTTTGTCTTTGGTTGTTCTGGTTCTCCAAACAGGCCAAGGGGTGCCCGGTTGGCTTCCAAAGTTGCCAGAGTGCGTGATGGATAAGTCCCTTGCCCTGTGCTGAGGACAAAAGACAATGCCTCTTGCAGCGGATTTTTTAAACCTCTCTTCTATTGTTTCAGAGGCTGTCAGTTCACACAGGCTCTAACCCCCCTTCCTGGGGTGGGGTGAAGTGGCCTCAGTAGGGCAAACAGCTTTGTTCTTGCTGCAAAAGCATCCCTTATCTACAGAGCAACTGAGGACAGCAGGTGGAAGACACACCTCTGAGGAGCTTTTCCTAACAAGCTGAAGGCCAGACTTCTGCCCTCCAGCAGCTATTTGTGTTTGAAAAAAGTGGTCTGAGTTTTGGAATTCAGATTCTACCTTTGCCTTTTACTTAGTTTGTTGGGCTAATTATCTTTCACCAGCTAGCTTGAGGAAGAGCCCTAGTCTAGTCTGGCCCAAGAGGATTGACAATGCTCAGTAGCTGGAACACGTTTTCCAAAGTCCCGCAACTCCAGTTTAACACTGTCCACCTAAGAGTCTTCGCCCAGCTTGGTGCTCCCCAGATATATTGGACGATGACTCCCAGCATCCTCTAGCTGGAGCCGTCTTCAGTATTTCATTGAAGGCTGCTCTCTTTGGTGTGGAAAGACACTTTGGAGAGATGGGGCCAGGAACGTTTCCCTTCTGTGGTTATTGTGGTTTTGTCCTTTTCATTGAACCGTTTTGCTTTTTATTTGCACAGTAGCATGTAGCAAAAAGAAGATGAAAGGAAAGTGTGTGCCCGTGTTGGAAACGGGTGCACCCCAACACAGAAAACGCTGCCAAGGGCTCAGTCCATTGACATGTGGAGAGCAGGGCTTGTCTTGCCAGGGCTTCAGTGCAACTTTGGCCCCTGCACTCCGTGGTTTTCCTGTTTTCTGCATTTTTTTTAATGGCCTGAAGCAAAAGCATGAACCGGCTGTCTCTCAAAGTGGCTCACCATGACAGCTGAAGATGCTGCAACATTGGACCGTATCTGAAAATAGACGTGCTGTAGCAATCTGTATTGAACAGCAAATAGATTTGGAAATATCCCTAGCAGAAAGGGGAGGGGAGCGTGGCTGCAGGCACACAGAGATAACAAAGCTTCCAGGCTAATGACTGTACTGCCAGCCCATTTTGCTTTTGAAAACGCCAGCGACTGATAAAAAAGCAGCAAGGCAGGAGGGGGCAGCTCAGTCTGCTGTTAAAAGGCTATACTCCGTTGAGCTGGCGTGTCTGTGTATGTGTGGATTTGTCTGGCTCCCAGTCCTGTCCTATTTGCTGAAAGGAAGCATTGTCAGGTCATGCAATGCGGGCAGGTGTGCGTGCCGGGCTTTTCTGTCCGGATTGGCTCCCGACCTGCCACTCAGTTTAAAATTAATCATAAGGCCCGCTGGGATGGGCTCAGGCAGCCTGACAGCTCACACTGAAGGACTGCGTGCGGGTTGCAGTTGAAATGTGGGCTTCTTGAAATGTGGGTTATTGTGTTCTATGAACCCAACCGAGATGATAAACCATCGTAAGTAACCTCCAGTTCACAAACCATGGGTCCTGGTTGTTTGTGGTTAGCAGACCATGGCTTTTAAGTGCAGTTGAGTTCAAACAACATGATAATCCATGGTTTAGTAACAGCCCACAGTCAGTTCGTACTTAAGGTTATCATGTTGTCTGAACTCGGTCAATAAGAAGTTAGAGAAAACACTGGCCTCTTAAAGTTTCTGGTAACAGACCTGGTATAGATATGCAGAGCAATGAGTTGGTAGAGTCTTAAGATGGGAGGAATTGACTGTATCGCTTTTTGCTGCAGACGGGGGCACTCTTAATTGCTCCCCGTGTCTCCTGTGCGGCACTCCTGCCAGCTTTGGAATGATGGGCATTGTGGTCCAACTGATCTGGAGATCGCCATGTTGGCACTGATAGACAGACTGAGAATCGGGCACATGCTAGGAGCCTTCTGGCAAAAGGAAATGAACTTTAGGAGGGCTGCCAGGTATGCGGGGTGCCCGGAATCACCACGCAGAGGCAGGAAGCAGCCAGACCCTTCCAGGTGTGTCGGACTGTGCTGTCTCTCCCCTTCGCATGGGCTGCAGTCAAGGCCTACTCTGGTGCAAGCTCACCAGAGGATGGTGGTTAACTCGGAAGTGTAGTCTCGCTGGCATGTTTCAACATTGTCAGTTTGGCCCCCTTTCCGCTTGCAAAATGGCTCCGATTTTAAAACGAAGTGAATGGTTGCTACCAGGAGAGGCCTAGAACCAATACGATGTAATAACGAGCAGGGATGTGGAAGCTGCTCGTTGGAAGCTGCTGGGTGACTTCGGGCCAGTCTCCGCCTCTCAGTCTAGCCTCCTTCACATGATCTGCGAAATCATGTCTGTGGTCAAAGACTAATGATTTGGCCAAATTTCCTGTGAGCAGCACTGAACAAGGAGCTGCATTCGACTCGGCCCACCTACCCCAGTGTTGCCAACGCTGAGCTGCAGCAGTGCTTCTGCAGCGTCTAGGGCAAGAATTTTCCCAGTCCTTTTTCCAAGAACCGAGCCTGGGACTTCCGATATATGAAGCCAGTCTTTGTCCCTGTGATGGATCTCCACTCTTGTTTTATCCTTCTTGAGGATCAAATCATGGACGCATCCTCTTGGCCTTGGATTTCCCCCATCCCTCCCAGTTGTTATTCCATGAAGAGCAGAAGTGATGTTTAAGACTGGAAAGGATGGTTAATCCCACCGGTAGCATTAAGAAGTACAGGGAGTCATTTGTGAAGATGGATTTTGGGTTTTGGCCCATTCCAACATCCTCTAGTTCGGAGGTGGTCCATAATACATAAACAGTTGAGAACATGGAAATTTATGTATGTTTGATTTTGAGTGGAAGTAAAGCAGAAAAGAGGTGCAATTTCTTCACTGCCTAGAAGGATATAAAATAGGCTTCTGTTTCCGATGGAGTGAGGATCGTTACTGGCTTTTACTGTACTTTATTCCAGTAACGTTGCTAAGGAAACCGCTTGCTTGCCAGAGTATTATGTGCCTTATATGATGCATGCAGTGGCCATGGGAACGGCTTGATCGCTTTCAAAGGAAGCCCTTTCCACATACATTTTTTTTTAAATTCAAGAGAATGGGCTTCCTTTTCTAAGATGCAGCCTACGGAATATTTCCAAAATAAAGGAAATAATGTGTTTCTTATCCATGTTCTCTGTGTTTGTTATTGGTTTCCAGAATGCTGAAATGGGATTGTGTGCGCTCTCGGAAACCTTGGCTGCAAGCTAATTTCACCTTTCATTAAAGAAGTAATTGCAAAATGGATTATTGCCCCCCTCCCCATCCTGCACCAGTCTTTTGCCTATATCTGCTTATTCTGTGGTCTTTTAGAAAGAAAAGCACGCTTGCTTTTGTCCTGCTGTCCCCTTTTAGCTTTATTGCTTTTGGCTTGGTTCAACCAGTAGGCAGTTGAGTCACGAAAAGGCAGAGAGGGTTACATACTTAGGCTGCACATGTATGTGTGTTTCAACAGGAAAACGGTCCCACAACTCCCCGCAAGCCGGGCCCTCAAGGGCTGGGAGCTGTGGGCCTTTTTTCTGTCCAAGCAGGCTTAGGATTGTTCCTGTGGCTATATTTTTATTTGCTGGACAGTAGCAGTGCGGAGGCCCAGCCGCAAGTAGTCCCAGTGCCGACACGTTTTGCTTAGTGAGGCAGTTGACATAGCTCTCAGCCCCTGAAGACTTCGCAGCTTCCTCTGAGCTTAGCAGCTGTCCTCACCGTGTGGGGGTAAGGGTAACTTTTTCCAGCAAATACATATTTTTCCCGTTGCAATGCTAAGTGTTTTGAGGTGGCTTGGTCTTGGGTGGGCAATTGTGATATTTTTGCTTTGCAAAAAACCCCAATCCTGCTGGAACTGAGTCCTTGAGAAGAATCAACAGGGCTGTCAGCAGTTCCAGAGTTTCCTGGGGGGCATGGGTTTATCATTTGGGTCTGCCCTGTAAAAGACGCAGGCAAAACAGCCCGAAGGCCCAAATCCAGAGGTTAGTCTCCCTGGCGTCTTACTGAAATTCCTACAGTGCGAAGATGGCTGGCTTGGGACTTGGGAGTCCAGATTCTAGTCCTTGCTTAGCCTGGAGGCTCAGTGGGCAACTCTGGGCCAGTCAGTGACTCTCAGGCGAACTTGCCTCACCACATGGTGGTGAGCATAAAATGAAGAAGAGGAGAACTACATAAGCCACTTTGGGTTCCTCCCAGGAGGGGAAAAGGGAGGAATGTGATAAATGAACCAAGACGACAGGTTAGTTGCAAAAAGGATTTTAATATGATGAACGCCCTTTGCATGGGGACTGCTGCAGATCAGGAGAGGTGCTTGTGGGATTCCTTTCGTCAGGTGCCAGAATTACTTCCCTTTGTATAATGTACCTGGACTTAGGAGATGGGTGTAAAGGTGTTTTTTGCTGCCCCACACCCATGCGACAAAATGCCTTGGACTGTCTTGTGCTATTAAGAGGCTCAAAATGTATAACTGAAGCACTAATAGACAGAGTCTATGGATGAAAATAGGGAAATGGTAGCATAGATTTTGGGACAAACAACCATCTGGCAGGATTACTGTGGCCCGGGAAGAAGCCGGGTGTTGCTAGTCTTAATCGGATGAAATTATCCTACCCAGGGTGATAAAAATGGGCAACTCCTCAAAAAAGCAAAAGCAAAACTGATTGGTGACTATAATGAGTAACAGTCATACTTTAGTTAGAAAGGGCGGGTGTTTTTCTTTTCCAGACCCCCAAAACCTGCGAGAACTTCATTAAGCTATGCAAGAAAAATTACTACGATGGGACCATTTTTCACAGATCAATTCGTAACTTTGTGGTGAGTATGGAGAACAGGAGGGAAGGGGCTGTCTTGTCTCCAAACAGAGATTTGCTGCCGGGTCGAGAGAGTTCTTGATTAACATCCTTTGTGGTATTGCTGGCTTTATCCCCGATGGACCCAAATCTGCAAGAGACATAAATTAAGGCTGACGTTAATAGAAAATATTCGTTGAGAATAAAATTGCCCTTCTGGAATGAGAGCAATAGCCAATTGCCTAGCAACCCACGTTGCATAAGTCAGTTTGTCATCGCCGTTTCCAGGCACTCCGAAGTTAAGAGTTTGGATTTTGTCATTGCTGAAGCCCCCACCCCCTGCCAATTTCTTTGGTTCAGGGCATTTATATCTGAGCTGAGTGATATGAAAGACTGGTTTCTGCGTTGTATTATCTGACAGGGGCTCCCAAAATTTTGGGGGCTCATTTGGAATATTGAAAGAGTGTCTTGGTTCACCTAAAACAATAACTCACAGAAACATGGAAACAGTGAGTCAGAAGGGGTCTCCCGGGCCATCTAGTCTGACCCCCGGCTCCAGCCGGCTCTGCTTGCGACATCCCATCATGGGCATGTCTAGCCTATCCTTGAATACCCTCACCGATGGGGCCACAACCATGGAATCCCTTTCCATACCCTGGGGGTCCTAACTGTCAGGAAGTAATTCCCAGCATCTAAATTGAGCCTTGGGTAGCTGGCCTGGACTGTGACGTTGTGATACTGTTTTCTTCAAGGTGACAGGCTTTTTTCTCAGAAAGCCACCCTGAGAACCATGCGTTGTTCCCAGGGTTTTTCTACCCATATTGGGTTGTCATGTCTCCCAAGCCTGGACAACTGATGCCGCTGTGGGGAAAGGGAAGTGATGAATGAGATGTTCAGCAAGGTGGTCAACAAAGCCCCCTCGCTTTCTATTCTTGGTGGCCCTGAACAGTTCTTACATTTTGATTCTGTAGATCCAAGGAGGAGATCCAACTGGAACAGGCACGGGTAAGTGAATGGCTCTCCCCTTCCGCTCGCTCACTGATCCATTTTCACACTGGGTGTGCTTTGCTGGTCCACGTTTGCCTTCGGCCATTTTTCCCAACAGCAGGCCTATTCCATGAGAATCTAAACCCTGCATTTTTCTGGCTGGAACAGCATGACTGTGACTCCTGGGCTGTGCTTTCTTTCTTTATGCCTGGCACAAGAACAAGGCATAAAATATTTCAAATTAATTAGGGTGGCAGGAGGAATATGCTTAGTGTTTTCGTTTGCTTGTTAGTTATTAGAACGTAACCAGGTGCACACCAAGACTTATTTATTCGATTTATGCCTCGTCTTTTCTCCAAGAAATTGGTGCTCAGGATGATAGGCAGCCAGGGCAGTGTGTCTGTGGGTGTAGAGAAAGGGTGTGCGAGTGAGTAATGGAAGCTGGCTGTGTTTCTGTGTGCGTGCGTGTGCTCATGTTTCATTGCGTGGGTGATGAAGAGGAAGGCCGTGTCCACGATCCCCCTCTCTCCACGGCTGTGCCCAATGCTAGCACGTGGTTGCGCCTAGCACCCCTCCGTGGTTGTGGCTTGGGAGGCAAACACGCTGCCCAGCCCACATCTGTATGAAAGGCTGTTCAAGAAACCTCTGCCTTTTAGGACTTGTAGATCTTGGCTTGAGATGGACTTGGGTGGAACTCTATGGTTAGCTCTAATGATGCTTGTGGTTTGGTCTAATGTTGCATGAAATTGCAATTCTTACCTTTATGTACGTCTCGGTATTCATGCCACAATATGTTTGTTATCATAGCAACGAAAATGAGGCCATGGTTGTGCCATTCTTCAGTAAAACTTCTAGGGCAGTGTGCAGCAAAGGGAGTTTGCTTGTTTCTTTGTTACTAAGCATAGAAATTTTGGGCCAGGTGTTTGACCAAGGACCTGCCACTGCCAAGTGAGAAAAAGTGACTGAACCAACACCTCCATGCGGGCCACTTCCACTTTCAGTCAGCAGCTCAGCAACATCCCATTTCTGGCTTGTTATTGTGATATCTGAACCCGGAAGCTCTGGGTTGTTTAGGGCTGGGTTAGAGCCAACCCAACAAAAACTCATGGGTGAATTGGAGTTACGAGCAAATCAGTCCAATGTGTTGAACTTTAATAAGAAAGAATATGAGGAAGCACAGAAAAGAGACGCTGCCTTTTACCAATTCAGTATCATCCACCGCAACTGACCGGCTGCTGTTGTCCTGCCTTCTTCGCATCCCTAACGGCAGATATGGGATCAGTCCCAGACCTTTTGCCTGCAAACCTTGTAGCTCTCCGCCTTCTCCATGTTGCCTGCAGTTCTTGCACTGTTTTAATTCTGCATCATTGCATCCCCAAAGCCGTTCTGGCATAGGTTATTTTGAGAACTGCGGGATGAACCAAATGCCATGACCTTGAGCAAGGCCCTCCTTGTATTCAGGATGGAAAGGGATGTTTGTGGATTTGCTCCTGGCCAAATACAGCCAATTCTTCCCAAGTCCAATTTTGTTATTAGTCCCCAGTTCCTTCATAGAGTTAAGGAGTTGTCTTATGTCTTCTGTACTTTCCCCATCTTCCCACCCTTGTTTGCTGTACGGACATTTTGACTAGTGGTCCAGAGCAGTGGATGGTAAACACAGACAGCAGCTCCACCAAGAAAGCAAACTGGAAGGCCCTCGGCATTGTTCTGAATCCGGCTGACCTGTTTGGCCTCAGAAGTGAGACATTTGCACCAGAGGGGAGAGCAATGCCTTGTTCGCTGAACCCCTTTCAGCCTCAAATTCCACTTTGGAGACGCTCGCTGTGACCTCACTGCGGTGAGAGGCGGGGCCAGAGACAAAAAGCCACAGCCAGCCCTCCCACCCAAAACACTGCCAATAACTGACCTCTTAGGGGAGTCATTTCAGTCCTTTAGAGTGGGGGGAAACCTGCACAAAAGCCAGGATGCCATCAAAGGATCACTTGTTAGGGGAAAATGAGGGGAGGCGAGGAAAGGGGTGTCTTCTGCGGACTGGAAGCCTTTGATCCCCAGACAGGAGGTTTGCACCCCCAGAGTCGAGTGACTGGATGCTTTTAAGGTTTCAGATCTAGCACCTTCTATATGGATATGAGGTCTTAGGGCAAAAATAAAAATAACCCTGGTCAGGCTAGGAAGGACCCCACCTGCAACCCTGCAGCATCGCTGCCATTCAGTGGAGAAAGGCTGGATTGACCAGCCGGTTCAGGCAGCATAAGGGCTGTACCCTCCTTGGGCCTAGAGGAGGGGGCGCTGTCCCCCGTTCGTGCCTGTGCAGCCATCTGCTGGGGATGTGCTAGCCCCAGGTTTCCCAGGCCAGGCCCAGCATCAGCTCTGTCTGAGACTCGGGCTCCAAGTGGAGGGTGGAGTCTTCCACCGCTCCCATTCCAGCCATCGGCTCACCCTGTGCCAGCTCCAGTTTTTTGGAGGCCTCTGGGCAAGACACTCTGTGGCCCCCTTCCCCCCAGGAGATGAACCTTGCCTCTCTCCCAATGCTCTGTCACTTGCGCGCTTGGCAGGTAGAGAGCCAAGGGGCGAGGCGGCCACGGCATCTCAGGCACCTCCATCCCAGGGCCACAGGGAGTGGCTGCCGGTGGGCAAGTGGTGGACTGGACGGGTGGCCCTGGGTGGAAGCCGTCGACCAATACCCCACTGCGCCTCCCCTGGAAACCAGCACCAAGCCGCTTAGCCCAAGGGCTGCAGAAATATCTGGACTTTAAATACGAAAGCCGGATCACCACTTCTGTTTTGGTGCCCCAAATGCATGTATGCTCTTCTGGCTCCCAAACGCGCAGAATATTATATTTTGAACTGATCCCCATTACCATGCTTCTGAAAGATCAGTCTTCTGATGCCACGGTCTGCAGTTAAACTGATGGAGTAGAAAATGAGCATGTTGATGGCTGTAAATATTTTTCCCCATTCAGAGAAATGGAAATAAACCCACGGGGACAGCTGCTGTGTGAGAGCTGGCAACCCATGCTGCCTCAGTGGAGAGGGTGCCCACGCTCTCTTCCGAGATGCCAGCTTCCAGAAACCCTGGGGAAAGAATGGAGCCCTTCAGAAATATGTCTGTGGGTCTTTCTAGCTTGCCCCAAAGATTGTTCGCATTCCCATAAGGAGGAAGAAACCAACAGCTCTCTGCTCTTGGTGGCTTTTTAAGGGGGTTCCTAGGCACCCCCGTCTTTAGAATGCAGTAGTTATGTAACATTAAAATTCGCAGCAGAGGATATCAGTAAAGTTTTTAAATCACACTTTCTGGAATAAGTGCCGCACTGGCACAGTCTATTTAATTTTTATTCATTTATTTTTAGGCTCTTTAAGAGGGGAGCTTTAGATGCTTGCTTAGAAGAAGCAATCACAATTCTAACTTCTTAATCTTAAATCAGCACTTCGATCCTGAGGTACGCCTGATTTACATCGCAGCCAGACTGAAAAACAGCCCTTTATCTTACCCGTCCTGCGGCAGGTGGAATTCCTCATAATCCGGAATCATTTGCTGTAACCTTGCAACTCCCAGTTTCTCAGAGCAAACTGAGATAAAAGCTCCTGTTTCAGGAAGTGGGGAAAAGATTTGCCTGAAGCTGTCTTGGTTTTAGATGGAATTAACTGCCATGCCAACACACCACAGATGCGGGAAGCACAGGGATGCACAGCCAGACGTGGCTTTGTGCCCAAGGGTAGGCCCGCCAAGGCCTCTGCTGATGGCCCTGGCTCTTGCAAGGGCTGCCCGATGTCTGAAACGCACAGGTGCAGACACCAGGCACACACCGCAGGCTTCGTTTCGGCCGTCCTTCCCCAGCCCCATGCCCTCCAGATTTGTCAGGCTGCAGCCAGGCTGAGAGCTGGACTGGACCCCCCACAGCCGCTTTGGTGACACTCTGGCTGGACCACAAGGACCACCGGTGGAAGTGGAGGTGCGGGGGCTGCAGGTGGATCTCTGGATATTTTGGACTTTGGCTTCCAGAGCCTCTGGCCAGCATGGCCAATGGTCAGGATTCCTAGTCTGAAGTCCAAAATGCTTGGAGAGCCAGAGAAAGCAAGCACTTAATCATCCCATTTTACAGATGAGGAACACTGAGGCCGAGAGATACATGATCAGCCAAAGCCCAGCCATTTATTCTATCATCAGATAATTCTATTTTTCATTTTCCCACAGCATTTTACTTCTTCTCTTTTGCTTTCTCCCCCAGCCAAACACTAAAATATCAGCGTTCTGGAGCTCAACGCATTTTATTAGGGGAGTTCCAGTCCAGCTGCAGCTCCAGATCAATTTCCTTTTCTGTGCTTTTGGAGGAAGGGGCTTGCAAGGGAGATCTGCAGTTCGAGCCCTGTAATCAAAAGTAGCTTGGAAGGCTGAGCATCAGATGTCTGGGGGAGGGACCACCCCCTGCTGCCCTCCTACCCCAGGACCACCTCCTCTCGAAGCGGCACTCCTCTGAACAAAGAGGCTGCCAAAGGGAGTGTTACTCATGTGAGATGTGCACCTTCTCGGTGCCCAGGAGCACTCAAACAAGTTGTGGGCTCTGTAAATAGAAGTCCTCACGCTCGGTTCACCCGAGCTTAGCAATTTCCAGGCACCTCCCCTTTATTTACCGCCTCTACAGTTAAGTAAAATGACAATTCATTTTCAAATTGCAATGGGAGCGAGTGATGCCTTTCTAACCCACGCCTTTCTTTGGAATATTGCAGGATGTGTTATTTTTAACATGTTTTAGCCCCCCCTCCCCCCGCCCCCAAACATGGCCATTTTAGCATTTGTTTCCGGCAGGCATTTTGCTCACAGGGAAGAGCACATATTTTGTGTGGCAACCAGGTGTGAGCCACAGTTGTTTTGAGATGCACCTTGGGGGAAGTTACAAACCGGTAGTCCAGTGCTTCCTTTTTTTCTGTTTTTCCTTCTATGTGCTTTAAATAGGAGAGTCCCTTGACTTATTTCTGGATTTGCTGCATCTGTTAAAAAGATACGATATCTCACCGTTTGCTCCTGGGCCCTTCTCAGCTGGCAGAGCAGAGTTGTTTCCTGCACTGCTCCCATATTCAGAATTGGGCAAAGGGTCATCGCTAGGTTTTAGAGCACTTGGTTTGCCTGCAGAAAGTCCTGGGTTGCTGGGCGGTTGCATGTCCCAGGCGATGGGAAATTCGGCTGCTTGGGGCCATGCGGGGCAAAGGACATGGGGCAGCTGCATGCAGTCAGATGGGGCGGTGGCGGGGAGCCACCCGGAGCCTTTCCTGGCTCCAGATGGGTCCCACTCTCTCGGGTCGCCTCCTTCGATGCGTTTCCTGCCTCTGTCCTTACTGGTGATTCAAATTACTTTGCCCCCTCTGAGACTCCTGGGCGCAGCAGCTGCTTCTGGCAACACCAGTTCCGCCAGTGGTGGTTCCTCTGGAGTCTAGAGGATTCCTCAGCTTGTTTGCAGATGGAACAGCGACCCTGGATCAGATGCATTTCTGGCCTTCTGCTTGTTTTGGTTTTGTTTTCCTGTGATGTAAGAGGGAGGGAAAGAAATGCACTCGCCCCCCTTTCATGGTTCGCCAGTCAAGACTGTAAGTGTTGACCATATAAGTATGGAAATGCCTTGTCTCGGAATTTTCTCTCCTGCTTAAGGCTAGTCCTAGAGGGAAGATTAAAATGTCGCAACTGCCATAAATAACAGGGAAGCGACAGCACAGCAAATGGGCCTGCACCTTCGTGGAGATGCCGTTTTATGTCTGTTCAAGGGAAAGGGAGCCGGCACGGAATAACACTTCTCGCGGATTAGGGGTCCCGTGGGAACAGCTTTCTACTCCTGCAGGGACTGGTGCTTTGAGCAACATAAATATGCAGTAGGAGGGCTGAACCTGGGGGGAGGGGGTTGGACCATTTTCTGAGCTTTCTGCTATTCCAATTCCAGGGGCAAACCTCCTGCAACCTAGGGCACCCCCCACCCCAGGTTGGGTGATGTCAAAGACACGGTATTTCTCCCCATCCCGATCGGCCCCACACCCAAACATGGATTGGGATAATTTTGTTCACCTCTATTGCAGCTCCCTTCACTTGGCTATAAGCTAGACAGTCCCAGACATTGTAGCCCTTCCTCAAGGTGTCCTTCTCTGCACTTTTCCCCACTCTAATATCCCTTTTTGAGTGTGGCACCCGGAATTGTACCCAAGTTCCGAGTGTGTTTGCACCACAGATTCGCATAAGAGTCAGGCAATATTGAGTTTCAGCCTTTCCTGATTACTCCCAGCATGAGTCCCCCCCGTCAGTTCTTCCCTTAGCATTTCTTTTTCCTAAAGAATTTTTTGTTCTACTTTCTCACTTCTGTAAACACGGAGGGCTCTTCGAGTCTGCCGACGTGGCCCCTTGTGGATAAATGGTGGTGTTTTGGCTGCATATGCCTCCACACTTAGAGAAAGAGTCCAGCGCAGGATGGGCTGCGAGCATTGCAGAGCAAAGGTTCAGTCCCTTGGTGAGGCTGGAAAAATTCCTGCCTGGAGCCCTGCTGGAACGCCATATAAGGCCGCTTTCTGCTCCCCGCACTTCCACCTTCCCTCCTGCCTTTACTGGCTGCCATGTGAGCATCCGCTGCTTCGACACAGCAGCCCGACTTCCTCTCTGGATCAGCCGCTCTTTTCTCACTTGGCAGTGGTGGCTGAGCTGTGAAGTTTGCAGCCCCAGTGACCGATACGCCGCTTCCCTATCCGTATTTGATACAGCAGTTGTAAGAATGTCTCGTTGTGTGTTTTCCTACGAATCTGTTGGTCATCTAATTTCAGGCGGAGAGTCAATCTGGGGAAAACCTTTCAAGGATGAGTTTAAACCCAACCTGTCGCACAAAGGTCGTGGCATCCTCAGCATGGCCAACACGGGCCCCAACAACAACAAGTCTCAGTTGTAAGTGAGGGCTCGGCATCTGTTCCTCCTTCCATAGCGAGGAGAGAAGAAGGCAGGCAAAAGCTGCTCAGTTTTTCTAGGCTTAAATAGAACGATTAGCTTTTAGCAGCTTTTCAGTCCGCTGCTGTTCTGCTTCATCTGCTTAATTTCAGTCTCATCCTTGTAGTGGTCGCAACAACAACTAAATTTGCATGTCAGCTGCTACGGGGTTCCACTACTGGAAAGGCAGATTTAGGGTGCGATTCTGGACATGTTTAGACAGGAAAAGAGCCTGACAGATCCCAGCATTCTGGCCTTCAGCCAGAAGCCTGGATTCATTTGGAGGAATACACAGGGGTTGCATTCCAGTGGACCAGGTCTGGAAAAGGCTGGGTATGTTCTGCCCATGACATGCCTGTAAGAAATATCTGTTGTTGTTTTTTTCTCCTCCCACTTCCAGCTTTATCACATTCCGCTCCTGTACGTACCTGGATAAGAAGCACACCGTGTTTGGAAGGTAAATAAATGAATCAGCTTCACCGAGTCATCACCGTGCGCTCCTGCGCACCTTGGTGCGGAGGAATAGCTGTGCCAAAATGGAGTCCGCCCAGAATCCACTGAGTGAGCAGTCCCTCATTTTTCAGTCTTGCTTGCCTCACAGGGTTGTTGGAAAGACAAACAGGCATAAGCTGACGTATTCTACCCTTGGCTTTCTAGGTGACAGATGAGAGTGAAATGTAATGAAATTTCGACGATAAAATGTGCTTGGTATTTTATTAGCTTGTGCACCATGGTCAAAAAGAGGTATTTCCATTCCGGGAGTTGCTGGGCTCAAGCAGCACTATCTCCCTGGACATTGATTGATTTTCCCATTTATGTAGTAAAGTTCTCTTCTCAGGTGCGCTGCTTAAGCCTCTGCGTTGCCTTAAGCAGGAAAGGTGGCCCTGCACCTGGGTGTACAAAGGTAACTGGATTTGCCAGTGCTGCCTCCAGGCTTGGGAGTGGGGGACTTGGGGCAAGGGGCCCGTCGTGGGCCACCTCCTCAAATGGATCCCCCTTTTCCTTGCCATCAGCACCACTGTCCCTTCTGGGTTCCATCCGTACCGGTGCTGAGAGGGGGAAGGGGAGAAGCAGAGGCTTCTGGCTCCATCTAGCTTGATGAGCTTGGCCAGGACAGGTGCTTGCTGCAGGGAGAAACGACTAGATTCCGGCTGTTACAGAGGGCTGGATTCTACGTCTTGGCAAGGGCTGGAGAACATTTGGCAGTTTGTGCAGCAGCTGCTGCAGGTTGTGTTTTGAAATGTGTATGAGAGAGAGAGAGAGAGAGAGAGAGCGAGAGAGCGAGAGAGCGAGAGAGAGCGAGAGAGAGCGAGAGAGCGAGAGAGAGAGAGAGAGAGAGAGAGAGAGAGAGAGATCTGTTGCAGCCAAGAAATCAGGGTGTTTGATGAGGGAGGACAGGCTGCATCAGCCGCTTCCTTGATCTGCTAAAACCTTTCATCTCCTGGGTGCTTGCCCGCTCCACAAGTTGCTGCATAAAGTTCTCACAGTCTCCAAAGGTGTCTGAGCAGTGACAAGCAGCACTCTTCTCTCCCTGGGACTAAAAATAGCTCCTTCCAGTCCCACAGACCTCATGAGTCACGGTCACAACTTCGAGCAGGGTGAGAAAGTGTGTTAAGAATGCATGTGCGACTTCGCTGTTTTCCTTTTCTGCTCTCTCCCCTGAAAGAGCCGTCCTTGGATTGCCTAGAAAGGATGAGTTGCCATTGTGGGGAAAACATGAATGACAGGCACACTCAGACTGACTCGATCGCACGCTTTCATCAGCAGGAGCTCACGCTCTGCAGATGTCGTGCGTTGTCCCTGTGGGGGCTGTCCAGCCTGAGGTTTAGGAGCGGTCCAGGGATGCATGCTTCTTTTGGGTCAGAAATGCAGCCTTCCCCAAGGAAGGTAGCTTAGGAGCTACAGGTTTGGGTTCTTCCTTTTCCCAGTGCAGAGCGCTGCACCGATTGGCCGGCCCTGCTGCCAATCATTATGCCATCTGCCTCCTCCCCTCCGTGCTGCCCCACGAAGCAACCCTTCCCTGGAGTGATGCCTCGGTGGGGGTGTTGTTCTTAAATGGACTTGACTTTGGGCTGTACCAACGTGCCGAGTGGATTGGGGGCTGGTGGGGAGGGTTATTTTAGGCTGAAGGCCAGCCCAGGGCGTGCAGGTGGGAACAGGGAAAACAGCGGTAGATGCAGGGCTGATGGTGGTGAGGCGGGTGAGGAACCGCCTCTGCACACACCCCAAGGGTTCAGTGCTCGTGAGCGCGAAGGGAGAATCCAGGCTCCCCACCAGGGTCTGGACCTGGGCTCCAGTAGCGAGACCTTGAGGCAGGAGCTTTCATGCTCGCCGCATTTCGTGCTGCTAAGATCAGCCCGTTTGTGCCGTGGGTTTCTCCAAGCAGCGATTAAGTGACAGCAGAAAGCTGTGGAGGAGGGCCGGCGTGCTTTCCTGGGCTGAGATCAGTGTGGACTGGAGGTTTCGACATTCCCTCGGTAGGTGCTTCCGCTCCCCACCATCATCCCCAGCTGGAGGTGCTCCTCAGCCTCACCAAGGACACCACTCGCTTGCTGGGTAGAGCGAGACGCAAGAGAATTTGGCACATGGACTTACTGAGCAAGAATGCCTTCTCGGGAGGTTCTCTCTCCCAGTCAAGCATCCTGCCAGCAATACGTCAGAAGCCAACTTTGGCCCAGAGGGCTGTTTTCGCTCTGCCTGTCTGATATGCTTGATACAGCCATTGCATGCCTTAACCTCACCTGGTTTCTGGCAAATTAGTGTTTTGGCACTGGCTGTACCTGTCATGGTCCCGTTTTATGAATGAGCAAGCCCCCTCCCATAGCAGCCACTTTGTGAGGGTGCCCACCAATTCAGACAGGTCTGGGACCCCTGATCCACACAGAATTAGGTCTTTTTCAGCTGTAAAGAGCAGCATGCTTCACTCTACATTGTAAAATGATTTTCTGGTAAATGCAAATCTTTGAAGTGTGTGTTCAGCACGTTTTCTCACACAAAAAAGTTTTCTTTCCTTCCTTTGCGAGATGCTTTTGTTTCTCCTCAAAAGCATTCCAGATATTTTACTTATTTTTTACTTAATTCTTGCATTGTCTTCTACACAGGAAACGGTTTTGTTTTGAGTCTAGGCTAGCAGGCGGTTTTGGTTTAATTGATGTTATTTAGAAGGCTAAAAAAATGTGCATGTTGAAAAGAATACGTACAAGGCACAGTTGTCAGAAGAGCCGAGACAAATGCATATTGAATGCTGGAATACATTTAGGGATCGGCGCTTTTACATGACTTAGCACAGTGGTGCAATCCTTTTTGGCAATACAAGATTCAAAACTTGGGGTGGTGATACTATTAGGGATCGTGATAATATAGTCATATGGTTCTTTGTGTGGTCAGAGTGTACGGCATTTTACAACCCCGTAAGGTAAGTTAGTATTGTTATCCTTCACTTTGCAGATAACTGGAGCTTAGAGGAGGTGAGATTTCAGTGAGGGAATATCCAATCCACAGTACAGATCCTTTTTTTTTTTAAGTTTTATTTGAGAAATTATCCTAGAAAACAAAAAGAAACTACAAACATCCATCATCAAAAACATCGAGCCCGCTGGGTCAGCCCCCATACCCTTCTTTTTCCATTTATGATAACTTAAAAACATACTTAAATCTATGCGAAGTCCCGTTTCTCTAGCCAATAATAAAAAGGTTCCCAAGTTTGATAGAAGTCACAGTACAGATCCTTGTGAGAGCTTTAGCCCCACACCCTTAGTTCCTCCCCATCCTCCCCACCCATCCAGAAACTCTCCACTGATGCCAATGGCAGCTTTCCTCCCGCTGTGAAAAACCATCCCTGTGCTTGATGCCAGCGCAGCAGACAAGAGATATTAACTCTGTTTTCCTAGTGCAGTATTTCTCCGTGTAGTTTTCTGCTTACCCTGAACAGGGATGAAGCTGCACACTTGTCAGCAAAATACATTTCCGAATGAAGTTCGGGGATGGAATTGGGTTGCAGAAAGGGGTGGTTTTGCTGCAACACTCCACAGACGGCAGGCTGGAAGTTCTGGAAGATGAAGCCTAAAGCACTTGAGACTTTCAAACAAGATTCCACGGTTACCTGGGAGAGACGCTTCCCGGTATTTATCCCTAAGTGTGCTCCAGGGGCTATTAAAAATGTAGGATGCAATATGTTCTCTCTAGTTTCCTCACTTTCAAGCACTCTCTTGTTATCAACCTGAAGCATCTTGATCAAAAGGAGGTTCTGCTGTGGACTTTGATAAGGAGGTAGACAGTACGTGTGGGGCAGCATATTGAAAAGGCCGAGTCCTCAAACGAGTCTGAAAACATGTACAAATGCCAGCATCTTACCCCTCCAGTAAACCCAGAAATAAGGCACTGAGGAGGTTGAGTTAAACCCCGAGCAGGTAACAGGCAAGGTACCTTTCCGTCTTTTGGGGAAGGCAAATTGTGTGGCTTGGCTCTGCGGTTCAGGTCAGGGAGAAGTGCATGCTCCATCACAGGTTCTGGCTGCAAAGGGCCATTTGTGGCACCCGTGGAACTGCCATACAGCATCGCGCAGGATTGGAAGGGTACAGCTGGTGCAGCCCAGCTGGTTGCATTAACATTTTGCTTTCATTTATCTCATGTTTGTGCTCCCCTGAGAGCCAAAGCTGCTTGGGTGGATCATGCAGAAGCACGTTTTAACCTGGCACTGAAAAGAGGGCCGTGTTGGTGCCAGGTGCCCCTTACCAGGGAGAGCTTCCCACAGGTGGGACATCACCGCTCTCCTGTGTGGTGCAATCTTATGCATGGCTGGGCAGGAGAAAGTCCTACAGACCCAGCTCACTGGGGAATGCTTGGCATTGGAGGACTTTTCCCTGCTCAGCCATGTACGTTCTTCTGCCCTGAATAACAACATCTTGTATTTTGGGCAGAAGCGGACAGTTTGTGGACCTGGAGATGTTTTGGCCTACAACTTTGCTCAGCCTTAGCCAATGGGGAGGGATGAAGGGAAGTGTGAAGTCCAGCCCAATGTGGGCTGTCCAAATCACATTTAATGTACGAAGGCTCCCAGAGTTTCCTTACATCCCAAAATACCATCCAGCTATGCTGGGTCTGTTCTTTCACCTGCTTTGGAAAAGATACATTCCCCCTTTATTTTTCCTCCTGTGCATATTTTTGTTTCAATAGAGTGGTTGGTGGGTTTGAGACCTTGACCGCGATGGAGAATGTGGAGAGTGATCCAAAAACTGACCGCCCCAAGGTAAGGAGAGCGTCACCTGTGCAGTGTTTACTAGGCAGAACTAGAATGTCTTTTGTCTTGTACGGTCGCGCTCATTCATCCTTGAAGCCGAACATCGGGGAAATGACACCAATCCGGTGAAGTGCATCCTACTTATGCTTTTCTCTCCCCCTCCTTTTGTTCTCAGGAGGAAATAAGAATCGAGTCAACAACGGTTTTTGTGGATCCATATGAAGAAGCCGATGCTCAGGTGATGGGGGCAACATTAGCATGAGCAGACTTGTAAGCAGGAAATGATTCAGTACCTTTAGGCAGCCTTGGCCCTTCTCTCCCCCCACCCCTTTCTATTCCTGTAACTTAAGGGATTTAAGTGACGGGATGTGGCAACAAGCTGCTGGCTTGGATGCCTTTCAAAAACAAATTAGGAAAATTCTGCAGTATTGGACTGTCAACAGCTAATAACTACAGTGGCTGAGTGGGATGCTCCCGAATGCTGGGCGCTGAGGAAGGAACGGGGGGCAGAGGCCTGGCTTGTGGGCCGACCGGAGGCCTCGGCTGGCAACGTGGGCAGTGGGACTGCTCGTCTAGATGGGCCTTTAGTCTCCTCCAGCCAGACTCTTCTTAGTTTTTATGTATTTTTAATGCAGCTTCTCGGCTGAAAAGTATCTCAGAATGGCTCGTAACTAATTAATTAAATAGGAGAATTTCAGCCTTCAGGCACACAAAGGAATGTGGAATTAAGATGAGGGCAAAAACCAGCAGGTTTGGTGCAGCGGCCTTGCTCTCATCCCCTGCACACAGCCTGTTAAGACTGTTTTCTTCACGAAGACTTGGGTCAGTTTCTGGTGGGTAGTAGTAGGCCTTCCGGCACTTTCCCAGCAGATGCGTCGTCTCCTGAATGTCAGCTCTGGAGAGATGGGAGCAGAGACAAACGAAGAGTGGATGTCCACCTCTTTCGTGCCTTGCTTGCTTGTCTGGCTCACCAAGGCCTCTACAGTATAGACCGGGGGTGGGCAAAAAGCAGGTCTCCACATGGTTTGGACTTCTCTCCCGGTACTCCTGACCACTGGCCGCATTGGCAGGGGTTTCTAGGAGCTGAAGTCCCAAACCTCTGGAGATCTACCTTCTGCCCACTCCTGGTGTGGATGATCTTTGGTTCAAGACAGAATGATTTGATCTGCAGTAAGGTTGCGCCTGGCGTTACTACCTAAGTGGTAACTGTGACTAGACACCCTCTGGTCTGCCTGAAATTCTGGCACATTCTTTGTTTGTGCTTGTTTTCTCAAAGGTTGCCAAAGAAAGAGCGAAGGTCCAGCAAGAGGAGAAGGCAGCAAAAGGGGAAACTAAAGCAGCAGCCCCAAAGGAGGAGCATCCCACTCCAAAAACGTACCGCCAGGGTGTCGGAAAGTACATCAATATCGCCGCAACGTAAGTGCCTGCCATGTTTCACATTGCTGAGTGTTCCTTTCAGGGAGAAATGCACAGTGCTGCTTCTCTGATGCAGGAGACAGCCTTCAGCCCAGTCAGACAATGTAGCCGTTAACTCTGCAATTCTACCCTTCATGGCAGTAGCTTTCCAGGGTCTTCAGTTCCTCAAAGTCCTGCTACCTGGTCCTTTGAGTTTAATAAACATGAGACAACACGGAGTCAGGGATGACAAGGCAGGAGCAAGCCGACAAAAGGCCGTTCAGCAAGGGAGGGAGCAAGCAGCCTTTCAACCCCCCTGGGCCTGTGTGGAGGCTTCACCTGCTCACCTCTAGCCCTTCTGCTCTTATTGAATCAGGTGTGCTCCCCTAGTTGTAGTGACAGTTGTAAGTACCTAGAACCAGTTTTGTGGAGGGGAGGAGCCCCTTCTCACCAAAGCTTCTGAAGTGCTAAAATTGCATCTAGGAATTGGTCTTCACCCACCTCTTTCTTAAAATAATTAAACGACCACTAGTAGTATATCCAGTTTATAAAATAAGCATTTCTCATAGATTAGGAAATTTAATTGAAAAAGAGTTCATAGAGTTATGAAGTCTATGTGCAGATACAGACGTGAAGTGGTTTAGTATAAAGCACCAGCTTCAGCCATGTGATAGTCACCTAAATAATCGTTAAAACAACTTATAAAGAAGCAAAAGTGTTTGTTTCTTGGACATGATGGCAGGAGCTTTTGGGAGCTGAGGTCTAAAACGTTGAGATCTTCCACCCACTTAAAGTGGCTTTTTCTCTTGGCTGCCCTGAAAGTTGCGGAGGAAGGAGATGGGCTACAGATTGTAGGGGCTCCAACTAGTCCGGGGTGATGCTGTTCCATTCTCATCGTCCAGCCTTTCCCTTTTAAAAGGAAGATGTAGCTCATCTGTGGGGGGATGTTCTGGAGTCCACAGCCCAGTAAACCCCCCGTGGGCGCTTTGCCCAGATCACTGTGTGGCTGTGAGCTGAGTTCATGGCTGTCTGGCCCCCTGCCAGAGGCCATTCAAGTGGAGTCAGGAATGACCGCGGTGGGGGAGGAACAGGGCCTTGTGCCTAAGCAGCTGCTCGTCCTAGAATGGGCTTTGGGGTAGGGAGGGCTTGAGCGCCGTGCTGCTTGGCGGAACTGCCACATGAGTGATGGGGACTGGGGCAGAGGAGCCGTTTCTCTTACAGTAAGAAGCCGGAGCTTCAAAAACCAGACAGAGTTCCTGGAGGTGCTTGTCTAAGCAGCCTTTCTGTCTTTGCCTATACAGTCCAAGTCCTGCCCAGAGTTTTCTGGGGTTCAAGCCCCAATCCTTTTCTGTCTAAACATGCACAGGATTGCACCCTTTAGCCCCCCACCAAACTCCACAGCTGCAGCCTTTCTTCTGTCTCCGTTTCATGCCAGCTTTTCTTTTTAACTTCTGCTCAGCAGCCCTGGGCCAGGAGGCCAGCGCCTCAGCTGCTTCAGGCCCAGCAGCCTCTAGCCAAGCATGCGTGACCACTGCACTCACGGGAAGGAGAAGGCTGCAGTCCGTTGGCAGCCTGTGAGTTTAGGACCTCTTCAGTGAGAAACAGATCCTGGGTCACAGGCCAACAGCACTGGAGGGCCTGAACCCCTGAAGCACTGCTGTTAAAAGTAGACATTGCTAAGCTGTTCTAAGCTATGAAGTATATGCTCATAGATGAACACTCCTTCAATTTTTTTCTCTTTACTGTTGTTGGCAATGCAGTACTTAAAGCAAGGAGGATGAGGTTGCATAATCCGGTATTCGTCTGTAAAATGTACTGGGTAACTGAGCCACTCATTCTCTCAGATTAGCCTGCAGGGTCATTGTAAGATCAAAGGTGGGAAGGGTTGGACATCACTCTGAACACTTCTTGGGCCAGAAGAGTAAAAGGCATATTAAATCAGCCTGATCATGTGGTCTCTGTTCTAGGAAGCGAGCAATGGAAGATGAGGGCCCCTCCACCAGCACAGGTGCCAAGAAAGAGAAGAAAAGTGCAGGCTTCGGGGACTTCAGCTCCTGGTAGCCAGTCTGAAGGTGGCTGAGTCTAAGGAACCCATGCAAAGCCACGCCTGGGCTTGATAGGTCTGTGTTCAAGGCGGCCAGCGTTTTGCTGCTGCTTCCATGGCAGCAAGGACACAAACGCGCGGGCGCGCACACATGGATCACATGCTTTATTTCTCAGCGTTTCCTGGGCAGCTCTCTCCTTTCCTGTTTTGCAGCCCGCAGCGGCACTCCACAATTCAAGGATAACTTGTGCACAGCTGATTTTCCTGTAGCAGGTGAAGAGGGTACTGAAGCATATGAACGAGGCCTTATTTATGAGATTCTATTTCAGGCTGAAAAGGCTCAATGCCAGACTGAGAAGGAAGAGGCGGTGGCACCAGTACCCCGGCTCTCTCCCCTTGCTGCAGGCTTCCTGGAATCTCTCACTCCTTTCTGGGTCTGACTCATGGACACCTCTGCCACCCTTTCAGTCCCCATTTCTTGGAGCTATCTTTCTGCTGTGGAGAAGCATCCCTCTGTTTCCTGGGGAGCTATGGCTGCACAAGATGCTCTCTCCGGAGGGCTCACCATGCAGCTAGAAGGCACCAGCTCAGGGAAGTTCACTTATGCAGTAATAGAGCTTGAGGAGGTCCTTACGCCAGCTTGGGTCAAACTAGCTGACTCTTTTTGCCTATAATACAAGTGAATGATACGAAAAGTGGTATTACAGATGAAACAAAGACAATCTCCACATGTACATTTTTCCTAGGAGTTCTATACTCCAGTAAGAAGTTTTCTGTTGGGAAGGTCTAATAAGAGAGAATACATGGATTTTATTCATAATTTTACTATCCAGAAACAGGAGAGAAACTATAGCACTTGGCTTAAGGTAGCACAAGATAAGGAGACCTCCTAGCTCCTGTTCTCATTTATGTGTACAGACATCTTAACAATGAAATAGGTAAGCTACCTTTGTGGAGGCTGAAGTTGTCGGGCTCAGTTCCATTCACTGTCAAGTGGAAACTTGACAGCCACACCTGAACAGAAGCGGTGGAATACCTACATTGACATGTTTGTGCTTTAGACAATAACATTTAACAGAATGCAGTACTACCTTGTTTATGAAAAAAAACCTTGGAACAAAATTCCAGCAGGAGATGCCCTGTGAAGTATTTTTCATTAAAGTTTTACATTTCCATTTCCTTGGTTCATTTTTTCCTCCCAGGATCCTGTCAATACAGTTTCTCTTTTCTGTTTTGTTTTCTTGCCAGGAAATGAGTCACTCATATTTTCCAAGATTTTTTTTCCCCAGAAGTCTGGATTCTTTTGAGGAAACCGTTGCAACTCCCCACCAACCGGAAGAAGTTCAGACTCATTCGAGGAGGAAAGCAAGGCGCATCTGTCTGTTTGCCTTGCGTGCAGGTTGAAACTTGGGGGAGCATCAGAGCAGAGGCCGAGGGTCCATGCTTACACGACATGGCTCGCTTCTGCCACTGGCCAGAGTTGGTGCAGCTGCTAACTCAAGGCTAAACGGAAAGCTGCTGGTGGGGGTGGCAGGCTGCTGCTGGCACCTGCATGCTCACCTGTCTTCTGAGCAGCAGTGAGACTTGCTCCGAACCGGAAAGGTGAGAAGCCATAACATGTACCCTGTCTGCTCTTGGAGCAACCCGGTGGATATTTCCCGGAAAGAATGGTGCACGACAGGGCTTCCCCGAAACCTATAGCTAGACTAAAGCAGCAGGACTGAGCACCTGTGGATCAAAATATCTGGAAAGCTGCAAGGTTAGATCGGGCGGAATTATAGGAATTATCCGCCAAAACAGCAGAGGTACCACAAGTTCTCAACCCCTGATCTAAAGTAACAATGTGACTACTTTTACCTAGTTTATCAACTTTTGGTCTCTTTGCGGGGCTTTTCCACCCTCATCAAGTGGTTTTCAGATAGGAAATACTATGGATGGTGGTGGTTTATTATTACAGCTATATTCTGTTTTCCTGTGTTCAAGACAGCTAAGAGTAATAAAATGCTGTATTTTATCGTGTAATTTAAAAGATAAAAGCAAATCTGTACAAGAAAAATAAAGAGCGCCCACCGGTTAAAACCTACTTCAGCAGCTTAAAAACCAAACGCCTGTTTGAATAAAAATGTCTTGCTGACTGGAGAAAGAAAAACAAACATAGATCTAGGCTGGCAGGCAGTCCAGAGCTTAGCAATCGAAGAGAAGCAATTGCTTTCAGAAATAAGAGACTGAATAGCGTTTTAGCCAAATCAGTGATTAAAACTGAACAGAAGTGTAAAGTGAAGAACAGGACAAAACAGAGTTTTTAGTAAAAATGCACAACTGAGGAACAAGAAAATCTATTCATTTACAATCTACTCCCACGATTAGAGGCTTGCTGGCTGCAAAACTGAATACAGAATTTCCCATAGATACAAAGTAAACGGAAGAAAAGCCATGTGTTCTTCTGTTGATTGATTTTCAATTTGCAGCTTCACTTCCCTGAGGAAACATCTATCAGGCAGTTCAATATGATGAACTGCAGAAGGAATACTGCCCTCCTTGACCTATGACTTCTCAAAGTCACAAGCAAAAGACATTAATGCATTAGCCACCAGACATGGTTTCTTCCCCTAAATAGTGAGTTTTCCAGCGACCAGAGGGGAATTAGGTGGACCCAAGAGCCTGGTCATAGGTCAGTTGTTTATGTAAGATGCACTGATCTGCAGCTTAGTTTGTGTTGGCCTCCCCTGAAAAGCACTTCAGCTGGCCTGACTGTGTAGGGCCTGAGAGCGGCCCAACTTTACTTGATACTTATTCCAGTGCTTGTTTCATGCCAGAAGAAAGTTTACCTGCTTACGTTATGCATCTCAAGTGTAAAATTCCAGCACTTTTTGAATCAAGATTTATGCAGTTTGTGCTGTGGACATAAAAAAGGCATAAAATGCATAAAAGAATGCTTTGATCAACAATACATACATTTCAAAGATGAGCACGGCAGACGCCTGGTACATTTGGAAACATATACATGGAAATGCATATTTTCATGCAAAAAGAAAATAAAAGTTCACAATCTAATAGAGACTTGAGTCAGAACCAAATTCAAGAAGGAATTCAAAGAACTTCAGCAAGCACAAATGATTATTCTATCCTTGCTCCTTTTTAAAAAAGCACAGTGCTGATACGCAACACCTGACAGATACAGGAATTTGTCAGGAATTAGAAGAGATAAAGCAGGCAAGATCTTCAAGGGCTTTTATAATAAGAACAAGAAATTGTGCTGAATCCAGGGGCAGACAAACCAATGGGGGGTGGAGTTCTAGACAGACAAGGTCAAGAAGAGAAAATTTGTCATGAAGCAAGTTTGTAGTCATGGTAACTACAGCAATGGGAAACAGAACACAGATTATGTAGTTGCTGTTCTGCTTATGAACTTAACATTTCTTACTTGGTGGACTGAAATGTTTAAAATTTTAGAGCACTTTGTCTCCAGGACTTAAGCAGTGAGAAGAAAGTTTTTGTTGTAGCTCACAACATGCTTGTAGATCTGATGGTGTGATCTGGTGTCACTCAGACCTTTCTCTCTGGATGGAGAACAGGTGAAAACATTTTCCAAATATGAGAAGATTTATATATATGCCTTGCTTCCTTGGGAGCACCGTGCTGGCCATGAGGACTTCAGTGAACTGCCTGAGCTTGTGGTGTCAGACCCAGTGGTGGAATCCTCTGCTGGAAGTGAAGGCTGCTATAGAAAAGAAACCTAGGAATGGCTGGGGTGTAAAGATATGCCTCAGCCTGATGTTAGATCCAAGTGTTTCCATTCTTACAGAGCATTTTCCTGCAAGATGGGGTCAGGCATTTAAGGAGGCTGCACATTTCCATTCTTCTTAGGCAGTGGGAAACAATGCCTGCACACCAATAAGCATCAATTTGCATTGGTCTCCTGGGTCCCTGTATCTCATTCCCGGGTTGGCCTGGTTCTGGTTGACTTTGAAAATGGACGTCAACACCTCTAAAGCCTGCTTGTTGCCTCGACTGTTTAATGAGAGCAGCTGACGCCAAGTGTTCCCACTCTGGTATCTAGGACTTCAGCAGGTCGAGGAGGGAACTGGGGTGCCACCGCTAAGGAAAACCCAAGTCCTCAGATGGCTCTTACCTGGGCGGTTTCATCTGGTTGTATTTATACCCATCTCTTTCCTATGCATTCAAGGTGACCAGCAGGAAAAGTTTAGTTCTCTCTAAAAGGCCCACAATAGTGTGTATGGACAGAATAAATTGGGGCAAAGTTTTGTTTTGAAAAGGCAAACATTCCTTTCCACTCGTTTATTCAACTTGTACCCATTAAACTCCCTTATCAGCCTGACACTCTTGAATGTTTTCTGTTTGACCTCCTCCTCCATTTCTCAGACCAGAAAAGTAAAAACAGAACCATTCAACACAATCTCCTTCCACACACCAGAAGAGTAGAAGAATCTACTTCTAGTATATGGTGACAAACTCTTGCTTGTTTCTCTGGACCAGGGGTAGAGAAGCTCAAGGCCAAGGCCCAAATCTAGTGCACTTGGGTTCCAATGTGGCCCTCCAGGGTTTCCTGGAGGACACACCTCCTTCCCTTTAGCGCAGCTAAAAAGCAATGGAGCAACTCCCTGTATCTGTCACTAGAAGGACTGGGGGAGAGCCATACTGCTAAAGTATCTTGCAGCTGTCACAGTCCCAAGACATCTTCTGGCCTAATGAAGGCCAGTGCGTCAGCCAACCGCCTGCCACGCGCAAGGGACAAAGACTCTCCAAAGGCTTTGCTTCGCCTGCCTGTACGCTCTCTGCCTCTGGTTCATCAGGTCTTAATAAGCCACTGTTAGAGTCCACTTCTCATTCACTCACAGTTAAACTCAGCATGTGGCTTGAATCAATCCAGTCTCTTGTCATCTTCCACCAAGCTGAAAAACTGCTGCCTTGCTGATGACTTCACCCTTGGGAAATAATGCTCTAAAGGAAGGGTTTGTTTTGCTGCCCTCCCCCTGTCTTTCCCCCCATCCAAGAGGAGAATGATCGCAACAGTGCTGAAAATAGAAGGCGTAAGTGGGAAGAGTGATTGAGAGAAATTGTGGCTTTTTGCAGACATCCTAACCCAGCACATATGTTGTTGAAACATGAAGACCCAAAATGGCTACAACCTAAGATTTTCTAAAATGTCTCCAGTTTTCCAGTCTACAGATAATGGGGGAGGGGTGCTTTTGTGTCATGCATTAAAGGCCAGCTTAGTATCGATTTTGGGATTTCACAACCATCTCCTCAAAGACAAGACTGAGTACAGAATCCAGTCATTGGAAATAAAGAGAACTTTGAAAGCAGTACATCGATTATGACATGAGCTTTTGAAGGCAAAACCTGATATATTTCCTTATAGATTGTATTTTGAAAAGCACACATGCTCGTATCATTCTTGACTAGTTGAGGCTGAACAACAGTAGACAGAAGGCAACCAGGAAGTCACCAGAGGCCACTTCCAGTATTACGAGAAAGCAACAAAAACATATTTCTAACAATTCCCTCCACAACATGCACTCAACTTAAAAACTGCTATTTCTTCCTCTAGCTGACATTTTCCCTAAACAGAGAATTATCCAAACAGTATGACCTTTACTTCTAGAGAAGTTGACACCTTCAGTGGTCAAGGTATTCTGGCAAATCCTGCAACTTCTCCAATTCTACAATGTTCTCTTTTTTTATTTTGAACTTTACCAAAACAACACCTAAATATAAAGAGGACCAAACTTGGGCAGCTTTTAATCACACCGGAAACCTCCTTGGCCCAAACGACAATTGCTTGTTACGATCCAGCCAGACATTTGACCTGGAATGAATGGGCATTGGGGTACCCATTCATTCCCGTTCAGATCAGAAAACTCAGCTGGATTTAGACCTAGGCCTAATTAGTTTCACATCCCGCTTCCCACAGGAGCCAAACAGATTTTCCCACGCAGTCCACTGAGATTGACCATTCCCAAAGCCTGCACCTATACAGCCCCATGTAAGCGGCATCATTTCTCTCACCATGAGGAAAACCTTCAAGAGGCACAAAATACTAACATGCACAAGAGAAATCAGAAAGGCTTTGATGGGATTTGAAAAAAAGAAGTCCACTGAGCATGCAGATGCGGCGTGCTGGATCAGACCGAAGCGCCATCTAGTCAAACGTTGCGCTAAAATTGTCCAACCAGCAGGACAGAAGAACAGCCTCCTCCTGCCCAGGTTCGCCCACATGCTTACTCTGTCCCTGCAGATGGCACAGAGCCATCAGGCCCAGCAGGCATGGATAGGCCTTCCTGCCATTAGCTTGCCCACTCTCCCTTAAAAGCCATCCAAAGGAATGGCCACCACTACATCTGGCGTAGCAACTGCCACAGTTTATGCACTGTGGAGACAACCAAGCTTTATTCTGTCCTGATTATCCCACCAACCAGTATTACCAGTATGGGAGGAGGAGAAAAATACCTCTTTATCTATTTTCTCCACACCATGAGGGAAGGTAAAAGAATCCTTACATTAAAATATTATACTACCAGAATAAAAGATCCCAGAATAAGCATGCAAACTCAGACCCTAGTGCAGAGTCCCCAGTGGCTAAAGCCAAAGATCCGTCGTCACTATTTCCTTTAAAGTACACTCACTGTGCAGCATCTCCTGTCTTAGACCAAGTGCCAGTCTCTAACAGGCATTTCCACTAGCTTTTTTATTAGTTTCACTGAAGTTTTAATCTCATTCCCCCATTCTCCCTGTGCAACTAGCCCTCAAGCATTTCTTAGAAGATCACAAAACTGGTTTAAAGTTAAGACCCCCAGATTGCTTCTTTGAGGTCCACTGATGAGGCATGCTGTATGGGTTTGAAGTCCCATGGATAGCAGTGTAGGACATCCCAAAACGCCATTTGACCCAAGGCATTTCCAAGAAAATACTAGGTTTATAGTCATACATTCAACTCTTACCTTCCTGTCGTGCTACCATTGGCAGGCTGCCAGGGATGTCCAATTCGGAACATGTGACTCATTCACCAACCAGGTATGAACAGAGGCAGCACTAAGTAAATATGAAGGGCAAGCAGTTAAAAAATTAGAGATGGTTTTTTGTCTCGAGGTCAAACTACAACATCTTTAATATTCTTACTTAAGCTTACTCTAGAATAGCTGCCCCCCCCCCACATATTGCTTACCTAGCTCTAACAGAAGGGAATGGGAGAAACCTCACCCATCTTCTCTCCGTTTTTGATTTGCCTGAGAAATAAAGGAGACATCTGTGTTGGCAAGTAAACCCCCTCTTTCCAGATTGAGAACTGGAAGAGTTTATACTGTTTTTCATACAGCCACCATGCACAGGCACCTGGATATGGGAGCCCCATGGAGTTTGCAAAAGTGGTGGTGGGGGGGAGAAACTAAGATAATTGCCTCCCCCACAAACATCCCACTGGCTGTTGAGGCAGGCAGAGAGAAGAAAACAGGACAGCAGGGGGAAAGAAGTCCCATGGAGCAGGACATGGCTGGTTGCACAGAACAACAAACAGCTGCAGGTCCCACTCGTTTCTGCAGCTTCTTGGCCTTTGTCCTTCCTCAGGGCAAGTGAAGGAAAATATTCTGTCAAGTTAGCAACCAGCGACCGCCCCCCCCCACCCCACCTTTATGCCTGCTGGGGCAGGGGAGGGTTTAAAGCATGCACAGTCATGTAGCTAAAATGCAACTCTTCTCTATATTTTTAAAGAAAGGAGAAACAGAGAAAAAAATAACTCAACAAAACAACTGAAAACTTTTATTGAGATACCTCAAATAGATACAATTAAGTGAAACAACAAATCGTGGTAGGTACTGCTAAGACAAAAACCAGAAAGAAGCCACACCAGCCGCAAAAGAAAGCCATTTTTAACAACTGTTTCAGCAATGAGGCACAAGTCCACTGCCACCAAGGACCCATATGTTTGACCCTACCTCACTTTTCTGAAATCCCTGTTGCATACAACCAATAATACTGGCTGTTTTGATACCAAGGGTACGGCATATACAGTACTATTATATCATTAACTTGAGCGCTTGCTTCCATTCCCACTCTATTATACAAGTTGAATATTAAAATGTGGCTCTAAGAATGTGTGAACAGAAGAATGTTAGCATAAAACTTGTCATCACTGCAGATTACTTTATTTGGGAGATAAAAGCCAGGTTTTGTAAATCTCTCATTTCAGATTAGAAATGGTGCACCCCAATTAATTCTGCTAAAATCCACATTCAGCTTTAATGGGTTGCTTTTTTCCTCAAAAAAAAAAAAGGGGGGGGGACTCTTATTGAAAGGCCTGGTTTTATTTAACACCAAGCGGCATTTTTGGAACTGTATCTATAACATAGTTTTATGACAAAGTCCACACAAATAATAGAGCATTTGAGAGAGATACTGGTAATTCTGACCTGCCACATTTTAACATTTGAAACATGGGCTGGATTAGAGCAATGCTCCTTGGTTCCCCTCATACGGCGGCCTAGGGCTAATGCATTGCTTAGAATTGTTACAGTAATCGATTAAAGGCAGTAGCACAGCAAGTCAAATCCATATGTACAACAAGACTGGTTATGCCAAAAAGTAAGTTCTTATTTGGGACACATATCAAATGTGTAACTTAATCTGCTGGAAGTGTGGCACTCTTCCTACCCATGGTTAAAAGGCGTACACAGCCGCTAGGCTCTAAAAACTAACTGCCACATGGAATCAGTTCTCACGCTCAGTGCTCAGGCCCAAAGGGTGAGACAAGGAAAACTGGGCTGCAGTCTGGGCTGGTTTGGATGCACAAAAGCCCTTCTGTGGAGCACCCTTGCGGAAGCAACACCTGATCTACTGTCGCAGTGTGACAAGTGTTAGCTTCCAGGATTTTACTCGCCGGGTCTCCATCTACACTTCCTCCACAGAGTAACATCCACATGGAAATTTGTAGTCTGCCTAAACTGGCCCTTAGGCATATTATAGTGTATGGTTATTTCACGATAACCACGGGGTTATCCAAACCAGGACTTCAAAGAAAAAAACCAGAGACTTCAGTACACGGACGCTTTGCTAGCACATTCCCACATGTGCCAATGAACATTCTTTCCAAGAACCAGCTTGTTTTCAGTTCATCGAGTCTAAAAAAGGTGGGAGTGGAGGGGGAGAACTAGTAAGAAACACACAGATGCTCACAAAAAATTGTTGTTACAAGGTATAAAAAATATATATATAAAATAAGTGTTAAGACCAACAGTAATAAAAATAACAAGTAATGAAAGTGCTCAAGTTGAAGGGAAAGCAAAAACTTACCCAGAGAGAACACACAAAACCTTAAATAGAATACATTACAAAAACAGAGGGAAAATGCTTGTAAAATGTTCTTCAAGTAATATGCTTTTATGTAATGCTGGCAAGTTCAGTAACCAGACTGATTTTTTTTTATACATCAACATCCAGCAGTAGCTGGTTTCTACTTTCATCAAATTGAAGCACCTAGTTTTAAAGAACCTCCTACAGCGCAAGCAAGAGTCCACTTATTCCCAAATTTCTAATATGGGGTGCAACTCGATGCCTATGGGACCAGTTCTAGATTTAAAATTCTCTACCACTTTCCCCTCCCCTTTTCAAGATCCATAAAAATAATGCTCTATTTGGTACTCTTAAATGCCTTATCACCACAAATGATTTGCATTAAATTCCTTTTACCCGCAATTTAATATTCCAGATTCCAGCTTTTTTAAAATCTCGTTTTTTTGGCATTCGGGTTAAACAACCCGTGCTGATGAGGACACCCCTCCCTGTTCATGCACTCAGAAAGCCAGACTACATTACATGCAAATGCTACATACAAAGGGAAAAAAACTGGGAGAGAATAAAAATCAGAGAACAGCAGAGAAAGGGATGCTCAACCCTTTCTCCATTTCCATCCCCCTGCCCTCTGCCAGGGCAATTTCTTCCTCCAAATGCACTCATGTTTTTAAAACTTACTCAGGGAAAGCTGTTTGGAGGGGTGCTTTTGAGCAAGGGAAGGACTTCACATAGGCAAGTTCCTCTCTGCCAATTCTCTTCATTTAGAGTCACCCAAAAACAATGCTCTACCTTAGAAAGGTTAAAATTACATAAATGTCTGTGTAACATGTATGTTAGTCCTAAGTGATTTAGGTCTGGAATACAAATAATGCACTGATAGAAAGTGGCTGACCCACTCTTAAAACTTATTCTCCCCCTCCGTTTTTTCCTTCCCTCTCCTCAAATGCTCACCTTCCAAAATCTCTTTGTCCTCTGATTATTACAGTACTAGGTGAGAGAAATCCATCAAGTGATCAGCCACATATTTGAAGGGAAATACTTGTAGCAACTTTTTCATATCTGGTACTGTTAATAGCATTATGAACCAGTAACAGCGTCTGACCGCTAACAGTTTTAGCAGTGGTTCACTGTACCCAACAGAAGCTACTTCAAATTCTTTATCATGACAGCCATAAAACAATAGAGGAAATACAAGAAAACCAGACGTACACATTCAAGGAATTTAAAGTGATAATAAGTTAATTCAGTTTGAGTTACTGATATTAGCCAGGCTGATATTTCTGTGTGTCATAAACCTGCAGGACACACAGTGTCTGTCTATACCAGTTCCCATGGTCATCACTGCCAGTATAAGGGGACTGGAAAGATCTGTACTGGCAACAGAATTGATGGCAGAACTACACAGGTTTACCAGACTGTCAAGCATATACTGGGAAGCATCTCCCGCTCTGAGAAACTTTAGCTTCTTCTAGAAGAACTATGGGGACTCAAGCGGTTGCCTGAATGAAATCAAGATGAATCTTGGTTCCATTTTAATTTACATCAAGAACTGGAGAGTCATGGTTTGAAAACCTCACTCATATTAAATAGAGCACCAGAATAAAGGTCATTCAGCAACACAAAATATGAATCTAGCTGTCACTTGAACAGCTCTTTGGATTTGAATGCCTAAGAGGTAACTACATACACATATAAATAGATATATTCAATATCCTTTTTGCATCACAGTGTAACCATACAATATCCCAGATTGTGTACTTGGGAAGGAATTCCTCAACCAGAAGTGGGGGGAAATTAATCTGCAGAGGAAAATTATGCCTACTTTAGGTAAATAGATAGGTAAAGTGCAGTAGAGTTTTGAAAGCCTATTAGAGGATGTTAGTAGCAGCCAGCAAGGAGAGACAATGCAAAACTTTGTTATGACATGTAAAAGTTGTATTAGAAAGGAACAGAGTTTCCACTGTAAGGCTTTCCACATTATTCATGCTAACAGCAGTTATGCAGTGTTAGTGTAAAACGTTCTCCCATAACATATTTCTTGTAAATTTTAGAACAAAGATTAATGCAAAAAAGTGACATAAAAAGTATTCAAATCTCTTGAAATACTATGCATATAAAAGTTCCCTTAAGGGAACTTTACATACATAATGCATTGTGCAAGTGTCTGATTGAGACACCCCACTTAAAAGCAGCGGCTGGGAAAAATTGCAAGTGAGTGTTTCTTTCACATATCTGTTTATTACAAAAATGTGCTTAGGGATGATTTAACCAGCAAATCAAACACCCCTTTAAAAAACTATCTTGCTACTTTTTCTCTCCCCCTCTCTCAATTTGTCATGAAGGAATTAAGCCAATTTGCCACCTTCTTACCTGCTCATCAACTTCCCACAGGTAGGGTAGCAGCAGCTATAGGCTCTGGCCACATTTTAACAGAAAAAAATAATTCTGTGTGTTTAAGTTCTGCTACAGCAGACCACTTCACTGATATCAACCTCTTTGTCCAGTGCATTAAAACTACAGAGCTACATGGAACCAGCCATATCATCTCAATGGGTGTACATGTCCCTGTTAAAGGTACAGTACCAAAAACTTTTCACACTGACTTATTAAAAATAAGAACTGCATATTTTGTGTCCTTTTTATCTTGAAGACTTTGCTAGACATTCTCTTTGCAAGATCAAAGTCTAAACTTTCTTAGGAATGTATTGTTTTAGACCATCTATTCTACAGTATAACTGTCTTGTTATCCTTATAAATCATAAAAAACCCTCCCTCTCTCTCTGCTTTTTTAATGTATAAAAGTGAAAGTTACTTCAGTCAGTACAACTGACTGGACAGTTAACCAACCTGGGCAAAAGATGTACACAGGTTGCAATGCACACTTTTAAATAGAAGTAATAATGATTACTACAATACTGTGTCCTTTTCACTGCAAAGAGACCACAGAAATTGCTATGTATGGGAGGAAAGTTAAAAAAAAAAAATATCACACCAATCCCATACTTTCTCTGCAGGACTGTTCACGCAGGGCAAGTGACAGGCAAGAGCATGCGCAATAAAAGGGAGGATTTAAAGGCATTGGTCCAGAGGGAGCCTACTATTAACGTAATTTGCAATTAGGAAATTAGCCTTCAAGAACTTTAAGGGAAAAAAATCATTCAAAACAACTGTTCACACAGAAATATATATATACCAAAAGAAGGGAACTCACAGAAAGAGAAAAAGGCAAAGATGGCCTCGGGGGGGGGGAGCCACAAAATTACATTAGTTTGGAGGTTTCAAAAATGCAGTGATTTTCTCAACCAACCCAACCATAATCCTTTTTGCATTAGTCTTTTATAAAGCATGTTCCACAGATTAATTGTCCTTAAAGAAAGAGTAGTGTTCCAGTTTACTCCCAGCCATTGTCTTTGATCATGTGGGCAAGTTCAATGATGAATTTTCCTTCTTTGTATTTCTGACTGGTCTCAAAGGCATGTTCCTAAACCAGAGGAAAAAATATTAGATTTCTGTTATCAACTCTTCTCCAGCAAGAATGTATTTTAACAACTCTGTAGTAGCATTCAACAAACATATTTCTTGTGCTTTTCGCTGACTCTATACCTAACAGGGGTGCTTGGGTTCTACGGTTAGTAGTTCAGCTCTTTAAACAGCTCGGCAATTACAGCAATTTCCCAACACGGCACCCTCCAGAAAGGACGGCAGACCCATCAGCCCGGAAGACACAGCCAATGGTCAGGGGACTTAATTGTTGCAGTTCAGAATATCTGGAGAGCTCCACATAGAGAGAGCTTAGAGTACAACATAGCTAGTAATAAGTGACAGGGTTGATTTCATATTGTAAGTATCTTTTTTGGTTACTGATAGTGGGAAGCTACAGAAAAACCCTGCTGAGCAATAAGGTACACATTGTGAAGACAATGGAGGGTGGGATATTCGTATCATCTACAGCACCCCACATGAAAACATGTACTTCTGTTACCAGCAACCATTGCAGACCTTAGGACTGGTCCACAAGTCTTGGAATCAACAGACAATGCACATCACAAAATCCCTGGTAAAGCCTCCACCAACACATCCCAGTCCACTGAAAGCCTAGCAGATGGACTGCACAAGCAGGCTGCCCCATCACACTGGAGGGCGGGCGAGCTGTAGGCTCCAGAGGAAGGCAGTTCCCCATGTCTCACACTGCATGTCAGACATTCAGTCAGGCTGTGCACACCACGAACTAGCTCGCAGGGCTCCTGAATGTCCGTATGTGCATGGCTTACAGCAAGCCCTTTCTCATTTGAGCAGACTGAAATTCAGATGGGTTTTATAAGTTCATTTCTGTGATGGCTTCAATACTATAAAAAAAGGAATGGCCTTTGGTGAAATTGCTGTCAAAATCAAAGTAAGTTAGTGACAAGCTTGACCTTTCTGGGAGGCAAATACAGCAACACGTCTTAGAAACATCAGAAGCTGCCTTTAACCAGGTCAGCCAATTAATCCTTCTGGACCAGGATTTTCTGCAGTACCTGACAACATCTCTCCAGGGCTTCTGGCACAGGACCTTTCACACAACCTGCTATCTGATCCTACTATATGGATGTGCCAGGGATTGCACCCGAGACCTTTTGCAGGCAAACCATGTGCTCTGACCACTAGTCCTTCTCCTCTTTCATAAGAAATATAGATGGAATTCAACCCAGTGCCAAATAGGCTGGGTGGGGACAGAGGCCTAATGGAGGAGGTCTTAATGGGCAAACTGGGCACTGCAACCTTCTCAGCTGGTTTCCTCATGGGCTTGTAGCCAGAAGTGTTCCAGTGAGGGGGCCTAAGAGTACAAGTATTAATACAGGTCAGAACCTAGGATACAAACAGACTAACATGTATATAATTGTTAAATAATATTAAATATATCTAAAATTTACAAAATTTAGAAGAGTGCCATTGCTCATAAAATGCTGCACTGCTTTTTGCACTTCTTTGCCAGAACACCGGAAGGTGGGAAGAGATTTATGACTTAGCAGGACAGGATAGGATATAGACCTGGTATGCTTTTCCTTATAGCTCCATAAACAGAAAAGGATTATGGAGACTTATTTTCATGGAAAAGAAACATTCTGGGAGGAATCCAGAAATCACAGAGAATGCTCAAGGGTCAGATGGACTGTAATCTATGGAATGCGCTCCCCAGAGAGGTCCACCTGGCGCCGTCATTATTTGTTTTTCGACGCCAGGCGAAGACCTTTTTATTTAAACGCCATTTCAATTGTTAATATTATTTATTTATTTTATTTGTATGGCCAGGATGTCTCCAATTATATTATATTGTTTTATATTGTTATTATTTATTTATTGTAGTAAGCCACCCCGAGGCTTCGGCGAATGGGGAGGCATAGCTTTCTAAATAAATAAACAAACAAACAAACCATCAGTCATCAGAACAGAAAGCAGAAGCTTTCTAAATAAATAAATAAATAAATAAATAACCCACCCACCCACCCACCCACCCACCAGTCATGAGAACAGAAAGCAGAATTCCTGAGGGTGGAATTGGACATGCCTGCACTGTCAGCCTGGGAAAACTGCCTGCATATGAACCCTTGGCCCAAGTATGCAGCCCCAGTAAGGAGGCCTCCAGAGCCCTGTGTCCTCGCTGCTCCTTGGCCACTGCCAGTGTTCTCCTGCCCTCTCAGGTGGTACAAACAGGAATGAGGAGAAGCGACAGCAGCTTTTACTTGCCCAGCCTTCTCCCTGCAGGACCTAGAGTCTAGGTGGAGGTGAGGAACAGGTCAACAGGAAGCAGCCAAGGTAATGGACCCTGGTGAGGAGGTGAGCATCTTGCCTCCCAACACCTTCACTGACAAAGGACTAAAACAAGGCGATCTGATGATGGAAGATTGGGTTGCTTCTGTAAAGCACAGATAACCTTACAGGTGGGCCTTAAGCAGAGCTTCTCAATGGATTTAGCTTCTTAAGCTGCCACCCTGTCTAGAGGCACTGGGCATCACAGAATGACCAGATATTCCCACCTTTGCACAAATATTTTTGCAACGGACAGGCAGAACCGAGCAGGGACACACATACATGTCCAAAACTGGACAACTGCTTACATATTTCCATCCAAGAGTGGTTTTGCAGTTTTCACAATAAATATCTGCTACTGCATGCAAGCCTGTCAGAAGAACTCTCTCTTCAGCAGGACCACAGCCCACGTTCACCCTATGAGAGACAGAGAGAGAAACACCACTCATAACACTTCCCCACCCTGTTAACACTTAGCTTCATGGGGCGGAAAGTAAAATAGATATAGGGTCTCAACATCACTTATGACATGATTTTTTTGGCAAATATTTCTCAAGTCACACAGGGGAGCTATCTAAAAGACAAGATGCTTCACTTTCTATTCCCCAACCAAATTGTTGAATCATGTAAATGATGCCTGCCACCAATGTAATTACTAAACAGCATTAATTTCCAGGTGAACAACAGCTAAATACATTAGCGGTGGCTCATTTTCCATTGACTGGCAGCTAGCATGAAGTGGCGCTTCCATGCCATCGATGCTGGTCAGGTGCTACAACTCTGCATTAAGAAATGGAAAAAACTGCTCTGTTCAAGCATGACCAGGTAGAACAAAGTCAATCGAAAGGTTTCACATAGGCAGGCAGTGCAAGCGGCTCTCACCTCGGTTTGAAACAGGGCTAGAAAGCATTTGTCTCCCTGTATCTGATGAACAGGTGGCCAGCGCAGCAGCAAATAAGTTGTGATTGGCTTGCAAGACAAGGCACGTGGGGTGTGCACACCCTGCTTTAAAGTAAAGCCAGGCTGCCCATGGTTTCTGGACCTGCAGGCCCCTGCTTGGGAATCGGAGAAACTACTGTGAGTGGCCTGGCTAATCAAGAGAGGCAAGTGGAGAGAAAAAGGCTAGAAGTGAGTGGGAAACAGCAAGACGAAGTGGTAGACGGAAAAGAAATGGGGGGAGGGATAGAGAGTGAGTAAAGCAGAAAGGTTTTTGTGGACAGAAGACTGGATGGGGATAAGAAGCAACTCTTTCCTTCTGTTCCTGCCTGCTGATCAGCTTGAGGAACAAGATGACGCCCCCCACCCCGTGCCCTACCTTTTTCAACTTAACATTAAATTTGAAGGGGCAAGGACTGCAGAGCTATGCAAGTGCCCCTGGAGGCCCTTGCAGACATCACGGTGCCTGCTGCATTGGGGACTCCTGCCCGAGCTTTTAAAGCCGATTTGCTTTAAAACAAAGTTTGTACTTCCCACATGCCATGTTTTAATTAGAAATACCAGCCTTTGCTATCCTGCGCCACATTTCAGCCGCATGTGCACCAATGATAGGAAGAGGTGAAGACCCTGCTGGCGTCCATGGGGGGGGGGGGGAATTAGCTCCCGAATGCTCAGAAGTTGCCCGTCACCAGTCTGAAGCATCTGAATGCCACTAAATGCCACTCAGTGGGGAGTAGGAGCAACAAACACTTATCACCTTCAATTCCAGTCCACAGGCTTCCCAGGCAACCACTTTGCCACTATGGAGGGCAGAATACTGGGCGCAAATGGCTCTTTCATCAGCTCTAGAGATTCTCTGTTTAAATCATTCTAACATCCCCGCAACATGCAGTCATGATCAAATTGTTTCCCTGTCTTTTATAAAATAAGAATTGCAATTATACTTACACTGAATTAAAGAGGTAGGCTCGTCCCTGGCTTCCCTGAAAGGACTGTAAGAGAGGAAAGAGTCTTTTAAAAGAACATTAAAATTATTTTACTGCAGCAGTCTCTCCAGATCTAGCACCCTTCAGATGTATGAGACTACTACTCACAGTATTCCTGATCACTGGTCATGCTGGTTGGGGTGAAATCCAAAGTATCTGCAGGGTGCCAGTTTGGAAAAGGCATTATTAAGTAATAAGGGTTTATTGTATTAAAAATAAATAAAGGGTGAAAATATTTCACCTGAAGTTTGAAACTGGTATATTTTCAGGTGCCTGTAACGTGTAATTCCAGCTGCATGAATTGCTGAAGTACTGACTTTCTGGATGTAATTTATGAGGCTGTAAACCCACTGTCTGAACTCTAATCTCAAATCAAAGTTTTACCTAAGTGCTTATGCAAACAATCCTATTTATATTATTTGATTTATACGCCATCTTTTTAAAAGAACTCACAGAAGCTTACATCATTCTCCTCCTCCTGCTCTCAGTCCTATCCCCGCAACAACCACCCTGTGACATAGGTTGGGCCAAGAGTCTGTGACTGGCCCAAAGTCACTCAGTGGTCTCTATGGCTGAGTGGGGACTAGAACCCAGATCCCCCGAGACCCAGTCCTACACACTTAACCACTACACCATACTGGCTCTCTAGATCCTAGGAATGGCACCTTCTTAAAGTCCACAGAGTTGGGTACCACGGTAATGTACTCGTCACAATTGTTCTAGGGAAGCGTAAAAATTGATGTTCCGTATAAAGAATCAAGACCTGATGCAATGCAGCAGTTGCAAACATGAGCGACAAGTCCCCAGTTTGACAACAGCAGAAAACAAGCTCACTTAAGGCAACTCTTCCTCTCATCCTTCCCACCACTTTCCATCTCCCAGATGAAGTAATGGCCTGCTTGGTAAGATACTTATAACCCTACTGAAATAATGCAAAGGAAAATCCCTAATGTGGACTCTCAATAATTTAATCAAACTGCTAGTTCTGACTGCCCACTTTTCTCTGTTGCACGCTTAGTAGGCTAACATGGCAGGCAATCTGAAGTGTTAGTGAAAGCATTCTGCTGCTAACTGCATTCTTTCTATTCATTTCTTTGAAAAAAGATGGGTATCAGCCACCATACACTTGTTTAAAAAGGCATCAAATTCAGATACAAGATAAACTCTGCAGAGAGGATAGCTCTGCCTACATTTTGTAATGCAGATCAGTATTGTCATTAACTAAGCAAAAACACAAAAGAAGGCACAGAAGATAGAATTTGCAGGACATTTGATTCAGGTAACTAGAAAAATATGAGCTCACAGAGTGGTCAGAAAGGCTATGTAGTCAGAAACACATGAGGCTTCATGTTGTGGGTTGTGTGAAATGGGATGCATAACAAATATAATTCTCCACTGTTACCACAGCCCTTGAAAAATGTTACAAATTTAGAGTTATAGTTTGCAACTTTGGAGTATTTATTTTGTACATAGGATTTCTTTGCACAGAACATCTGAAAATAAGCGGTTGCTTCTCAGTGTCACAATAGACAATGTCACCTTAACATACTTATAAATTAGTCATTCTCTGGAATTCAGAAGATCTCAGATAAAGCCCTGACAGCTGTTAAGACCAACTTGCTTATTAACTAATACCAAAGCATAGATGCAAAAACTTGCTTGTAAGTGCACAGTTTTGCCTCATACCCAAATAGTCTTTTAAACTATGAGTGCAATGTATGAACAACACTTTCAAAGCTGCAATTTCCGAGTTTTGTGCCGAACTTTGAGGAGAGGCGAGCTATCTGTGCCAGCCTTCCCCAGCCTAGTGCTACCCAGATGTGTTTGACATCTATCCTTAGGGAGGAGCCCTGGCTCAGTGGCAGAGCAAGCATTTGCAAGTATAAGGTCTCAGGAGCAATTCCAGGCCTTTTCTGCTAGGGCTGGACACATCCTGCCCCAGAGTCCGTGTTGACAGTCACTGGGCAAGACTGACCAGTGGCCTTAGAATAAGGCGTATCCTGTACTGTATATTCCTGTCGTCTCCGGCCAGCAGGGCCAAACCTAAGCATGCTCTCAGAGCAAATCTGAAGTCTAGAAACACTAAGGTATCTTTGAAATGCACCTCGTTGCATATGCAGTGCCAGGGAAAGGAGGCAAGCTCTGGGGTCCCAGGAGGCAGTGCATGAGACAGCAGGCGCTGGGGAAAGTTTAGACATGATAAACCCTGAAAACATTTGGGAGCAACATCTGCTATTCACAAGACAGGTTTTCTTGAAATTTAATGGAACCAGACTAGTTACACTTTAAGAATGGCTTTACAAGCTGAAACTGAGGGAAGTGAATATGAGCTGAAATGACTGGATTTGAAATGACCGGCCGTTTGAGGCTGATTACAGTACACTCCTGTGCTTGTCCACTCAGAAGTTCCACTGAGTATTATGGGGCTTACTCCTAGTTAAGTGGGTTTAGGATTGCAGTCTAACTATTTTCAAAGTGGGGACTGGGTAGAAGTTGACAAAGTGCACATGAACATTTAAGACTTAGTAAAAAAATTCTACTGTATCAAGACGTGGGAGTTAAGAAATGAACTACATGCATAATTTTTGAAAACAAAATAAGCAGCAAAATATAAAGGAACAGCTATGCAAATTCTGGAAGCTTCAGAGTACTTGATACTGAAAGGTATTCGTCACCTCTAAGACACGGAGAAAAATAAGCAAGGCTAACTTATCTATGATTATTAATCTACCAAGAGAGTAAGTCATACTGATGAAAAAGGTTCTGTGTCAAACAAGTCACAGTCCAACATATCATCTATACCAAAAACAACATACACCTCATGAAAGGATAATCCTTGAGACTGGACATACAAGCCAAAGGTCCCTCCTGAGTTTAGGAGATATCCACAGCTTGTCCGCAGAAAGCAGCAGCACTGCACTACACCCCTACATTTTCCCCAGAACACAAAAGCCTAGGAGAGGCACCCCCAAGAGACCAGCGAGCAAATAATGCCTCAATTCTTGTCATTTCAGGGGGTGGGATGGTAACCAGTTCTCTCCAAACTGACCTCCGCCTCTTTACCCATATAAATCGCACAACTTTCTCTTCCTGATGCACTGAGGGGAACACTATACTTTCAAGTTTGCTCTTTTCTCCCTTCCTTGAAGCCGCAGGCAAGACAATACCAACTTTTCCTCAAGCAGCCATTCAAGGAGTGAGCCTTCCAGAAGGAAGACAAGGTTGCTGAGACTAGTTGGTACACAGGTAGAAGGGGAAGCAAGATATGAATAGCAGGGCCAGAAGGCCATGAAATGGAACACTCTAAGATAGCTGCTCAACAGCAACAACAGATCATCTAACATAGCAGTGAGCAGAAATAGACCTTTAGGTATCTGGGACCGCAACATTCTAGGATTCCTGAGCATTGACCAGGGAACGCTGAGGGGTGAAGTAGCAAACATCTGCCTTCTGTTCATCCTTGACACACACACACAAGCCCAGAGACGAGGCTCTGCTGCTGCGCCTTCGTCAAATCTATGCAGGCAATATTACAGATCCCAACAACTAGAGGTGAGGATGAAATACGTTTAGTTCACATTCCAAGCCAACCTCATTTGCACTTCCAGAACTAAAAGGCAAACTGCAACACAGTCATCCTTCAGTTTCCACACTTCACCTTTTCTACGATCAAAATGCACACATTATGGGGAAATGGTACACAAAAAGTCATATATTACAGAGATGCTTCTAAAAAGGAATATATTATTAGAAACTGCATATAAAATCATATAAATGTCTGGACTTCTTAAAAATCACAGACATGAAAATGGGAGGGAAGAAAATAGTATTTAAAAAAATGGTGATTATAGAAAACCAGCCATAGAGTCTGGGAATAATTCACCCACACAGACCTAAAATGTTATATATACCAACCATCAAAGTCCTTCTGTGACAAAAGGATCAACATCTAGATAACAGAATAAGGGAGCATGAATCCTGCATCAAAAAATGGCAAGTAAGCAGTGCGATGCCCCTTCAGTTTCTGCCACTGCCACCCTCAGAATCACTATATATCATCCAAAAAGCTTCAAGCAGGAAGCTTCAGCACAGAATTAAACCTAATCGGCAAATTAAATGGTTTCTTTTACACTATTGGAAACATGTATAAAGAAAAAATCATCTTCAGCAGCTACTGTTGTGAATGGGTCACAGTGGCCTTGTTTCATCTCAGGTTTGCACAGAACTCACTCTCTACTCACACACATGCCTAAAGTCACTCTCAGCCACATTCACAAACCCTCTTTCAGCCCAAATTCAATTTCAGAGAAACACTTGGGGGCTTCTTTCTAGTGGTGGGCAGGCAATTCCCCAAAACAGCCTATTTTAGCTTTAAATGTCACTGCCAGTAATTAGGCCTTAGGAAAGTCATTTCAACCTTTTAGAATGAGAAAATGACTGCACAAAAGACAGAAAGCCAGCAAAGAATTGATGAATCACTGGGAGAAGGGCTGAGGGGAAAGAGGAATGGGGCACAGCATTCTAGGAACACTGAGCGCCAGATCTGGCTTCTGGGCCTGAGGTTCTGTACCACTGTTCTAGTTCATGACACACATGACACAATAAAACCGCTAGGCTTACAAATACCATAGGCCATTGTTTTTGTTGTACTAAAAATGGTTCCCCTTTTGGAATGTTACTATGTTTTTTTAAGGACAAAACAAGTTTTTTTCCCATTCTAGACATCCAAAGCAAGGAAATAGGCCTTTTCACTTCAGAAAAATAAGGAGATGCAAATGGCAGATATAAAGAGCAGGCTGTGTGCAGACTATGAGGCAATGCCCACAACCACAGCTTTTTAATTAAAAAAAAATCTGGCCACAAATATTTGCTTGAAAATTTATAGGCAATGCTTATTACAGTCCCCAAAGATGGGGCTTCCAATGGTTGGGGATTAACCTTCTGCACCCTTGCCCTTTCTATGCCTGACAAAATTAGAACGTCTGTTTAACCAGAAATTAAGAGGA